AAGAAAGAAGGATTAAACATCTAAGAGGAAAAGATATTTCACTGGTTAAGGTTATCTGGGATGATGTTAGAGGCGACGCTACATGGGAACTGGAAGAGAAAATGAGAATAAAATACCCTTATCTATTCATATAAAATGTATTACAAATTTCGAAGACGAAATTTTATCTAATAGGGGAGAATTGTAACATCCTAGATTTGCAACCAATTATATAAATAAATTTTGTAAGTTATTATATGGTTATTGTAATAAATATGTTATGAGTATTATGTAAAATTATTATAAAATATGATTATAGTAATTTTATCTTAGGAAAAATTATAAAAGAAAAATCCAAGGTTAATATAATAATTTCTTAATAATTCATAATAATTAAATTAAATTAAGGATAAATGAATAAATAAATATTTAGGAATTTATTACTATAAGTGAAAAATATTAATAATAAACTTAGTTAAAAAAAATGAAAACAAAAAGAGAGAAAGAGAAGGTCGGTGGTGGCCTAAATACATTTGAATTAAGTCGGTGAATAATCGAATTGAATTAAGGCGGTGGAGAATTAAGACAATGAAGAAAATTCTAGAAGGAATTAAGTTGGTGATTAAGTTTATAAATAGGAGGAAATTGAAAACATACACCAACACAATTCACTGGTCAACTTGAAGAATAAACAGAGAGGCACCATAATTCTGGGAAGAAGAATTCGAGAGAAAGGAGGAAAGGAGGAACATAAGAAATTAGAAAAGTAATAAGATTTTGGAGGAATCAGGTATGGGTTAGATGTTTAATTTTATCATACGAATGTCTGATTTTGAAGATAATTGATAATTGCTTCCTATTTTGCAAAGTTTGAAATGTTGATGAAATTATTGAAATTAAGAATGAATTACATTGTAAAATTATTGTTTTTGAATAAAATAGGATAAGTTTCATGTTTAATTTGAGTTTAGAATTAGTTTGATTGATTGATACGTAAGAATTTGAAATCTAGAAAAATTGAATTTGGTTACTTGGGCGAAGATTGAAGAAAAGAGATATGGTGGAAATTTTTGAAAAAGATTAATTTTTTAAATAAAGGATAAATTGTATATTAAAATTGTTGTTTTTAACTTAAATTAAATATATTTAGGGTTTAATTTAGATTTAGAACTAGTTTGGTTATCTCGAAACTCGAAAATTTGAAATTTGGAATGTTGAAAATGACTTACGGAAAATGAGGAAGAAGAAAGGGACAATGTGAGAATTTTTGAAAAAGATCAAGGGCAAAATAGTCATTTCACATCTTAGGGACATAAATGGAATTTTGAAAAAGTTTAAGGGTATAATGGTAATTTAATAGTGATTTTAGGACATGGATGAAATAATAGGAAAAGTTCAAGGGTAAAATGGTCATTTTACAATCTAGGGATATAAATAGAATTTTGAAAAAGTTTAAGGATATAATAGTAATTCAATAGTGATTTTAGAACATGGATGTAATAGTAGGAAATGTTCAAAGGTAAAATGGTTATTTTACAACCTAGGGACATAATGAAATTTTGAAAAAGGTTAACAGTATAATCAAGATAAAGTTAAACAGTATATTACTACCTCTTTGTTTACTAGGAAAATGACTCAGTAAGCATTCGAATTTGAGGATAGTACCTTCATCAAAGTTATAAGTTTTTGTCTTGTCTTTCCAACACAATTAGAATCATCTTAAAATGAGGTCTAGAATTCGAGATATAGACAAAACACTGAACCCCACGAAATAGATTATTAATATAAATTGTCTTGTTTAAAACAACTATGAATTGTAATTGAAATTTTGAGTATATGAATGAGATGTTTCTAAGTACTTAATTGATGATAGGTTGTTTTGTTTCATACAAGACATAAACATAGTGCATGAAATGTTTTGTGAAAGTCACATAAAAGTTTTTAGAGAAAAGTATTTGGTAATTTCTATTTAGTTGCTACCAAGGACGATTGGTAGTAATAATGATGTGCAAAACAAAATTTTGGAAATATTTCTATGAGTCATTTTCTTGAAAATTTACTATCAAGAACATCAGGTAGCGGAATATGACTACGAAAATGGCCGGCCAAATGAGATAAGGAATGTAAGAGAATGAATGATTGAGAATCGAACTACCAGTATCTCTAATAGTAAATGGGGGAGTAGAATAGGTAAGACAAAACCTCTGGTCTATGGGGTTAGACCTCTAGTCTAGGGAGTGTTTGGGCATGGACAGTTCCATAAGTGACCAGTCTTTATTTGATTATGTGTCGTGGTAGCCTGCCGGATGCATTGACACTTTGACTACTGTCTACTTGTTCGCGTTTAGTGGGACATTGCTGAATCACCGGACAGAGTGATGTTAAGCTTTGGTTCCATTAGACACTCATATTAGTCTCCATGAAGCACTGATTCAAAAAATGATCTTTTTAAAGTCAAATGCATGATTTTAAAATTTTACGTTTTGAGTCACATGTGCATATCATAAACATATTGTATGATGAAATTGTATATTGTTCATAATTTGTTTGATATTCTCTATTATGTTTTCATGATTGATTTATTTGTTTCTTATAATTAATTTTCGAATTAAATTATAAATGGTTGTATATTTATATGTAGTTATGAACTTATTATGAAGAAATGTTTCATTGGTTGATTTTATCGTATGAATGTTTGTTTTGTTTGTTGTGGGTAAAATTAAATGTCTAACCCTATAAATATTTTAAAAATGGAAAACTATAAATGCGAGATGAAGAGTTAATGTTAGAATCATAATGCAATACCAGAGTATAGAAGGGAGCTGCGTTAAGAATTTATAGTAACATTTATAGTTATAAGTATAATTTAGTAATCTTTTTGTAACTATATATCTGATATGTTTATGAAAATATTATAATAATGATTTTAAAGTTTTTATACATAAATTAAGAATGATGAGTTTTGATTATTTAAAGTTAAAGAGAGTAGTATATATAATCCGGATAAAAATTATTATTTATTTCAATCCAAGAATGTTAAAGGAGGAGATTAACATATAAAAAAATATACTATAAGATAATCAAACCATGTTCAACATTAATAATTATATTTAAACTTTAATAAGTAAAGTTGATTTCCTCATTTATAATTTTATTTTCTCTTAAAAATGTGTTTATATTTTTTTATTTTATAAATATTTAAAACTCAATTTGATATTTTTTCAAAATTTAATATCAAAATAAAATATTATAATAATTAACTAATATTTAAAAAAATTGTATATCAATATTTAATATTTTTATATTATAATATACATATTTGTTATAATAATAAAGAAAATAATTTTATGTATTGTTATTTTATTTAAAATAAACTATTACAAGAGATCTTCTTTATTTATTTTTAACTTATTGTATTCAATGTAAATAAAAGAAAAAAATATAAAAATTAAAGAAAAAAATTACAATTTTTGTGTTATAAAAATAAGACGGTATAAAAAATAATAAAAATTAAAAATAAAAGCTTTAAAATTTTATTTTGTATCGTAAAATGATAAAAGAGAAGAATATAAAAATAAATTAATAATAAAAAAATAAATAGGTGTAAGTAAAAATTACGTAAAAAAATAAATATAATATTTATTATAAAAAAAAAATAAAAGAAATTAAATAAAAAATAAAATTCATTATATTTATAAAAAATATATTTAATTTTAAAATTATTATATATATAAAAAAAATCAAAGGACCCGTGGCCCACTGCCCCTAATTCGGTATCTGATTTAAGTTTTCTATTCTTTTTATAAAAAATACACGTTTATATATATATATATATATATATATATATATATATATATATATATAATCACTTTTAAATACATTAATAGTTGGTTTCTTTTTGAACCATTAATTCACATGTGTATTATCATCACTTTTACATTTACATACTTATATAGTGAAATCACTAATCAATAGAGAAAGTACTTGTTAAATTACAAATAATGTCATTAAATACAACTTTTACTTAAATTATCTTTTGTACATGTTATATAAACATTAAGTTTAGGATACTTTTAATTAAAATTAGTTAATGTAACAATTTTATTAGTCTTCATATTAGATATATTTGTTGTACACAAAACATCAGATAATATTGAATTTTTTTTGGGAAGAATAGATATTCATATGCCTATTTGTCATATACAAAATATTAGCCAATATATAAAGAATTACCTCTTCCAATTTGTTGTATTAATATTAATTTTTTTATTAAATTAACAAATTATTTACTAAAAATGTAAACTAATTACCATTTTAGTAATTATTCATCTTTTATTAGATAAAATTATTTATTATTTAATAAAATATAAATTTAAAAAATACTTAAATAGCTATATACTCTACTTAAAATAACATTCAGTCGTTTGCAAAATTAAACCCACCTCACTTTTACATCTCAAAGCATACAATATATAGTAAATAATACAGTTACAAGCGCGTGTTTTTTCATTAATTAATAAATTCTTATTAAATGAATGATTTTTATTAATGGTTTTCATATTTATTATGAAATTACAATTTGTCGAATCTATCAAAGTTTTCAGGTATAAATTTTAAGTCTAAAAATCAGAAGATAAATTAATTTGTACGATTAACCAAAAATTAACTAGGAAAAGAGCAAAGACCATGTGTTGCGATTGATGGGAGAATATTTATAACCCTCGTTCGTGACTACAAGAGAGAAACCAAAAAAACCCCTTGCGGCTGCTCTGTTGCAATCAGCGTGTCACGTACATCTACATCTTATCATCCATATATTCGTCATAACGTAATCGCCCATTACATCAAGCGTGTCTACCGCAGCTCTATCAGGTTCTTTCTTTAATCCCACTCTCTTCTTGCTCTAGTAATATCTCTTTCATGGCGATGAGACTCTCTGTTAGGGTTAGGTTTAGGGTTAAAGATATCTTCGCTTTGGATTCATGTACGATTTCCTCCTTTTCCCTCATTTTACGTCATCGATGCCTGGGATTTCGTTTTACCTTGATTCCCTTTGGTGTGACCGTTATTGGCTCTTCTCAGGTTTCCGATTCCGAATCTGTAATTTAAATTAGGTTTGGGCGTGAAGGATTTATGATGTTTGATGTGTGTTTTCGTCGTAATGGTTAACGATTTACGTTTAAGATTGAACGGTTTTCCTACTACCGAGAAACAACTATGCTCGGATGTATGTACGTGACGGTTTTCCTGGTCTGCCTTTTACTGCTTTCAGTCTTTAAACGAGCTTCTTAATTTTCCTGCATTGAATTCGTTGATGATATGTAGAAAAAAAGAATGATAATCCAGTTAAATTTGTAATTAATGCTTTTGACTGTAAGAAATAATTTTTTAGCTGTGGTGGATTGTGGGAACTGAGAAGTGGAAATCCATGGAGATATTTTATATCCGGAGCAAATGGATTCGGGGATAATTTTTTTGTTTGGAATTGGAACTACCCAAGGACAGTTCATTGGGATGTCTCCTATGTTACTTGCACTGGAACTATCTGGATTAAGCGGAGAATAGGTCTGATTGCTGACTGCCCTGTGGTAACTTGTGACTGTTGAGAACCAGCTAAAAACATTATAGTTTGCTGCATGGATTTTTACAGTCCAGTACATTTATCTGCATGTTTTTTGTCTCACTCTATTATTACCTCCAAAATAATATTATGGTAAGAATATCTAGATATCTAAACGGAATAAGAAACTTAGTTTGGAATAAAAATCTCTTGATGGGGATTTCATTGTTATTTCCTGCATAGTCCTTTCATATAAAAAAGAAAATTTAATGAGAAAATAGAGCCACATCATACTGTGTCCAACTGCAAAATCTGAACATGCGCAGATTTACAATATCAGATATGATACTTTGGACTTTTCTGAATTTTAATTGTTGAAAAATAACGTGTCCAATCCACTATGATCTGTGCTATAGCCACACCATCAGTTTGAATTGTTGTCTCTTATAATCATTTCATGGACATTTACTTAACCGCTCAAGTTATTGTAATAGTTGATTCATGACATACACACAGTAGAGCCTTTATGACCATGTTGTGAGGCAGTGGTCCATTAGCACCCCCTTTATTCCATAAAATTCATATGTTTGCACAAGGTCGGATGGGCCTGGAGCATTGTCCATGTTCAAGATGAAAGGGCATTTGTGTAAGGGGGCATATTAGACATAAAACAATTCACGAGCTTTTTACTCAGCACCTTTAGTCATTTGGAATGTTGGTTCTTAACAAGCTGGACTTTCTAGAGAGGTATTTGTGCATTTTTCGTGTTAAATATGGCAATCTAAATAATATGTAGATGTAATATTGAATGGGTTAACCTGGTTCTATATAACACCTAATCAACATGAAGATGTTGTTCTTGTAGGAGGGAATCTGCTAAAGAACATGTTTTCATTTAAAGGCACCTGTAGTTTCCGAGGGCAAGATGTAGCTTTCTATAACCATATGTGTCTCCTTCATTTTCTCAATGGTCATTTTCTTTATTTTATCCCTCGAGCACCTTTACAGGAAAATGGTATGTCACCATTCGCCAAACCAAAATTATGCCTCCAGCTGCCTTTCTGAGTGAATCAGTAGTTTATCTTATCCCTCTTCTCTACTGGGTTAGCTTCGATGAAAGATGAAGTGATATGCTTTCTGTTGTTTTTTCAAGTAGAGTGATCTTATGTTGGGAATATATTATTTGTGAGAAGCAAGTGAATATTGTGAAGAATGGTGCTAAGGGGCTTGCTATCAATTTTTTGGTGCTGAGTGCAGTGGTATTTGATTGATGTGAATGTGAGATGGATTGCATGTTGAAATTTCATGTTCTATACTGTTGGAATTTGCGGTTTTTATATTTTGAAGGGGAGGTAGGGGGTTTGGCTTGGCTAGTTGGCTTAAGGATGATATTGGATGTTGGTTGTGATGTGGACAGGAAGGAGGCGGTGACTGGTGGTGTTGGATGTGGTGGAGGTGGTTTTGCTGATCAGTTGTGGTTGAGGGTAGGAAAGAAAGAAAGGTGAAAATGAGTTCAGACAGCCGCAGCAGGAGCAGGAGCAGGAGCCCAATGGACCGTAAGATCCGATCTGATCGATTTTCCTATCGTGATGCACCTTACAGGAGAGATTCACGTCGGGGTTTCAGGTTTTCTTTTGGATTTTAACTATTTATTTGCTGTTTTGTTTTTCTACTTAAATGTATTGGTTAGGGAAGCTGAAGAAGATTGAAGTATGCTTTTGGTAGAAGAGGCTTTGAATCTTTATTCAGCTATTTGTAAAACCCTGATTATGTACCAATTGTTTTCTGTTCCTGTGGTATGGAGTCTTCTTACTCTGGCTGCTGCTTTGATTAGTTTGGAACATAAGTGATATGCTTTTGCCTCTCAAGCAGAAGGGGTGTGTTTACACAGCCATTTGACATTTGGAACACGAGCATGCATTTCTCACAGTGACAACACTAATTTGATTTTTTTATCAGCCGAGACAATCTCTGCAAGAACTGCAAGAGGCCTGGTCATTATGCAAGAGAATGCCCTAATGTTGCAATTTGCCACAACTGTGGCCTCCCTGGGTATGGAATTCATTCTATGTTTCTTAAAAATTGAGTATTTGGATATTTATCAGTATGATTATATTTAGTTACATTTCTTCTGCAGATAATTTTTCAGTGAAATTTGTTTACCTGTAGTAATCTTTTCTTTTTGCGCTTAATTTGACTGTGGTTAACTTTCAGGAATATGCCTATTATCATTCATCTTCTGTTCATTTTTATTTCTGTTTAGACAATGTGGTTTTGCTTTTTTTCCTAAACTTTAATCTCTCGTTTTTTTCTACACTTATCTTCTTTTCGTTGATGGTACTGCACTTCAAGAGTTATTTTACTGCATATTATTAAAGCATCCAACCTTCAGTATCTATTATGTTGTCTGAAATTATTTTTTTTTTAAAATTGATTTGTCTCTATTCACATGTTAGATTCCATATCACAATTGTGTGTTTAAAGTCAGAGTGTCTATCTGTCAACTGTTGTATTGTACTACTTCTGGCTATGTTTATACTGCAACTATGTTAATGCCATGTTCTTTTTGTTTTCTGTGAATGAAAGTCGTTTTGCATGCTGAATTGGCTGGCAGAACGAGTTCCTTACTGTTGCCATAATGCGTTTTTGCTGATCATTCTACTGGTCTGCCACTCGATTTAGCCAGCCTATTTTTATCATCATTGGCCTTTTTTATTGGAGCTTGGATGTCTGGGACAAAGGCTGACTGACAGTCTTTGCCTTTACTTGCTCTTTGATATGTTTAGGTTTAAAACTGTGTTGTTTGACTTTACAACTTTCATCTCCAAATTTGAAAAAAAGATTTGATTGTTTGTTTTGTTTCGTGATCTCAAATTGTCATTTATACTATATCTGCTAACTATGGATTACTTTTCTGGCTTTAAATGTTTGATCAGGCACATTGCTTCTGAATGTACCACGAAGTCACTGTGCTGGAACTGTAAAGAACCTGGCCACATGGCCAGTAATTGTCCAAATGAGGGCATTTGCCACACCTGTGGTAAAGCTGGACACCGTGCCAGGGAATGCACTGCTCCTCCAATGCCTCCTGGAGACTTAAGGTTGTGCAACAACTGTTATAAGCAGGGCCACATTGCAGCTGAATGTACGAATGAGAAGGCATGCAACAACTGTAGGAAGACAGGCCACTTGGCACGGGATTGTCCTAATGATCCTATTTGTAACTTGTGCAATGTTTCTGGGCATGTGGCTAGACAGTGTCCAAAAGCCAATGTTCTTGGAGATCGGAGTGGTGGTGGGGGTGGTGGAGGCACTCGTGGTGGTGGGGGTGGGGGTTACCGGGATGTTATTTGCAGGAACTGCCAGCAATTAGGTCACATGAGTAGGGATTGCATGGGCCCCTTGATGATTTGCCACAATTGTGGAGGTCGTGGTCACCTAGCATACGAGTGCCCTTCAGGTCGGTTTATGGATCGCTACCCCAGGAGGTATTGATGGTTGAAAATTTGTGCGTTATCAGTTAATATGGATGTTTTTCTATGATTTTATCGCCAAAGACAGATTGTTGAGTATTGGTAGTGTATGTGTTTTACTTTTTATTATTTTTAACTTGCTAGAGAGACGTGATAATGATGCCAATTGATCGGCCATTTATAGTTTTTGATATTGTGTTTGTGCTAGAAATAAGAATTTGCTACTGGTTAGACGTGGTATTGTATGCATTGAGGGTTACTTGATGAGCTTATCTTTTATTGGTCTAGTATAGTAAGTATTTATGGTAATGGGTGCTTGAATTGACATTTTGTCCTTATATTTATAAACGATTGTTTTAAAAAAAAATTAGCCTAAGCATTGTGCACTAAGCTTTGTTTGGATTAATTAATGTAATATAGCGATATTAAGTTTAACTATTACGACTATTACCGTTATATCAGATATGATAAAACGAAATCATTATTTTATTCCATCATAAAATGTCTAAATAATGAAATAAAATATTTGTTTTCCTTTCGTGATTTCCTATTTGACACTATATTCAAACATAAACCGAAATAGCTAAAACGCTACGCGGAATATCTCTGTCGATTGGATGATGCCTTTATTCGTTTATTGGTATGTTGGTGGTGATATCTGTGGTAGTTTTGAACTATTAATATGATTTATGAATAAGATTTAATAATTATAAACGTTTACCCTAAATTACTATCTGAGAAAACACACCCGCAAGCTCTGGTGCAAGAAGAGATGAAACAAAACGGCCTACGGCGTGTAGCTTGATTGCGAAAATAGAAGTTTTTTAAGAAGGTTTTAAAGTGTTATTCTCCTTAATATAATTTATTTCATGTTTTTAAAATGATATTATGAGTACTTGAATTTTAAATCAGGCTTATAAGTAACAGAAACAGATATTTGTTTCAATCTATGTTAGTTAGATTAGATGTGATAGATTTTGGTACATTGTCGTGTTAGGCTTAATTTTTTATTTGAATAAGGCAATATTGAAAAAAACACGGTTTTAAAAGAAGTTTGATTTTATTTGAAAAGAATTGCAAGAAAATATAAGAAAATCTAGATAGTTTTTCCTTTTTATTTCTTTGACAGAAACAATGTGTCGATAGTTTGAAATTTAGGGCTATATTAGCGAAGCATCCCGCGATTAACTCTGCAGCAACGGGGGAAACATAGTAAAAGCGAGGCTCTCACTCTTCCCAACTTGACTGCGTTGACCTTCCTATTCGCAGAACATAATTAGTGATGGCAGAATCAGGTAAGATAGTTGGTACACCTGTCCAAGAGTTGGTTTTGAATCCTCAAAATGTGCCAAAAAATTATATGTATGAGGAAGGTGGTTCTGGATTTCGAGATGCTCTTGTGCCACCACCGGATGATAATATTCCCGTGCTCGACCTCTATCGCCTCTCATCTCCATCGACAGCACAGCAAGAGCTTGCTAAACTCCACCATGCGATCCTTTCATGGGGCTGCTTTCAGGTATCCTGGACAACCTCTTCCAAAAAATACAATCTAACAACTTCTATTAATATTAAATATAAGATCTTTAATTTTTATCATTATTTTTTCATTATTATGATTATATTATTAAAGAAGAGTTATAAAATAGATACTTGAAGAAATGTGGATTGTAAGTCTATCACTCTCTTCTATATAATATAAACCTGCCTTTTAATTACTTTATACATCCAATCCATGTCACTTTTAATTGTCACAACACTCTGGAAAGAAAAGACAGAAACAGTATAAATAATAAATCTTGGATTCCCAATTTTTTTTAACACATTTTATTGAAGAAATTTTATTAAAAGCTACATAATTACAAGATAATTTCACTAAGTTAGAAGTGTTGTGAGTTTCATGTTAAAAAAAGTGTGTTAGGGAGTAATCTTAGAGTTTGTAAAATCGTAGATTTTCAAAGAAAATATTACTGAAGTTAGTAATGACATTATTTTAAATATTTTGAGGGATTCAGGCAATAAACCATGGATTGGAAAGCTCATTTCTGGCAAAGGTGAGAGAAGTTTCTAAGCAATTCTTTCAACTTCCAAAGGAAGAAAAGCAAAAATGTGCAAGGGATCCAAACAATATCGAAGGATATGGCAACGATATAATATATTCAGAAAAGCAAAGGCTTGATTGGACTGACAGAGTATACCTAACGGTGCTGCCTGAAGATGAGAGGAAGTTCAAATTTTGGCCTCAAACCCCTGATGATTTCAGGTATACATTCTTGTCACCTTTGGCTCTCAATAACACTCAACGTTCTTTTACATGAAGTAACTAGTACTCTATTATCTCCAAATACAACTAAAATACATTTACACTTTATGTTTAGGATAAATTTCTTCGTAAATATTTATAAAAAAAAAAGCATAATATCAGTTGATTTTAACTTCTGATTAGTATCATTCATTTCATTCTTATATTTTCTTTTCATGTAATTAAATACCAGTTTATCTATTTGAATTAGACTTGTATATAATTAGGTGTCACAATGCAGAAGTACCGTCCTACAATACACAGAAAGCCTAAGGCTGCTAAGCGAAGTAATCCTTAAGGCCATGGCTAAGTCACTGAACTTGGAGGAGAATTGCTTCCTAAATGAAAGTGGAGAGAGAACTAATATGTTTCTGAGGTTCAACTATTACCCTCCGTGTCCAATGCCTGATCATGTTCTCGGCGTGAAGCCACATGCAGATGCATCCACCATAACTTTTCTCTTGCAAGATAAAGAAGTAGAAGGCCTCCAAGTCTTGAAAGATGATCAGTGGTTTAAAGTTCCAATCATCCCTGATGCCCTCTTGATTAATGTTGGTGACCAAATAGAGGTAATAACTGAAGGTTCTTATTCTAGTTAGACTTTTGTGATTACCATTCTTTAATTATTATTAGATTATTAATATCAATAATAAATGAGTTAAGTTGTTTTGCCCTCTAAGAGACTATCAATGAATCAGAAACAATTGTTAGTGGAACACTGTTGTGCATTATTATTGTATATCCATTGACATAAAATCCATATTATTTTAATTGATGATATATTAATTTTACACTACATATGGTCATTGGAACTTGACCATTTAAATCATGCAAAGAGCAAACCTGTCAAATGAGTTGATTGAAACAACAGAAAAAGTTTGTTCATGGTAACATAACTGATAGGGAGGATTGACTGAGAATTGCTTTGAATGTGATTAACAACAGATAATGAGCAATGGAATTTTTCGGAGTCCAGTGCATAGAGTAGTGTTAAATAAAGAGAAGGAAAGGCTGACAGCAGCAATGTTCTGCATCCCGGATTCAGAAAAAGTGATTAAACCGGTGGATGAGCTAGTGAACGAGACTAGGCCAATACTATACAGACCAGTGAAAAATTATGTTGACATCTATTTCCAATATTACCAGCAAGGGAAGAGACCAATGGAAGCCTCAAAGATATAAAGTTTTGATTCTGTCGAATGCTTCTCGTAATTTAGTTAAATGAAGATGCAACCAAATTCCAATTTATGCTACCTATTATGAATTGAGTTTGTATTATGAATTGAGTTTGTGTTTACTTGTTGGGTAACTAAATGGTTGAGGAGATGTATGCTAGTTTTATTGGTGTGCATTTGAAAGGTAATGTTAAAAGCACAATATTCAATTTGAAAGTTCTTTTTTTCTTATTGAAATGCTGGAGTCAAACAGCCCCTTAAAAGCCTCTGTTAAAAATAAATCCAGACGAGTTTCCAACAAACATCAAAATTTCAAAATCTAGAATAAAATCAAAATTATCAAAAGGCTCCTGAATCACCAAACCATGGTTTGCAAAAGCATATACTACCTGGTTAGCTTCACCGAAAACATAAACATATATATTTTTTAAATCAATGACCAAAATAAAAAAGATATTATTATTTTTATTTAATCATAACTAATTTTCATCAAGTTTCTTTGATGACATATTATTTTATGTTGGGTTAACGATTCTTTTAACTATAAATTAATAGGTATGTAATAAAAAAAGAAATAATGTATATAATATAATATAATATGATTTTAGGAAAATGTATTTATGTTGAAAAAAATGAAATAAAATTAGTATAATTATATAATTATGTTTATATCAGATGAGGGTGTATTAATAAAATGTCACTTACTTGATACTTTGCTTGAGTCTCACAATTTTTTAAGATATTTTTTATTAATTTAATTTTTCAAACATCTTATATTCCATTTCTTTCTCATTTTTTAACCATTCTTATAATAGAATCTTTATTTGATTAAAAAAACTATATTTTTAAAAAGATAAAATATGTATATTTAGTAGAAACTACATGTGCCTTGTTTAGTGTCAAAATAGAGATGCTGATGCATCTCTCCCCGTTATTATGATTTGTGAAAAACACCCAATTAATAACTTATTATATAAATATAATATTATTATTAATTATAATATCTATTATAATCAGTTGTTAATGGAGTGTTTTCTTACAACACGATTGTCTATATATATAATTTTCCAAAAATAAAATCATGTCTCTTAAGGCAAGTTCATCCTTCACCTTTTACATTCCTACAACTCTTCATCACTGATGTAATGGCAGAATCCGGTGAGGAAGAGATAATTGGAAAACCTGTCCAAGAACTGCAGTTGAATCCTCAAAATCTGCCAAAAAGTTACATGTACGAGGAAGGCGGTGCTGGATTTTGTGATGCTCTTGTTCCATCGCAGGATGATGAACTTATTCCCGTGCTTGACCTTCATCTTCTCTCATCTCCATCTACAGCGCAAGAAGAGCTTGCTAAGCTCCGCCATGCACTTCAATCATGGGGCTGCTTTCAGGTATATTCTTTTGATTACTTTGTATGTCGCAACACCCTATAAATTTAGATGACTTGTATTCTTTGATATAATATAAATTGGCAAAATCATCTTCGATATTTATTACCCAAGAAATATATAGAGTGGATGTTGAAGTTATCAATGATAGTTTTCTGATACATGGCCACAAAACACTCAATTATTATGTGGGATTCTCAGGCAATAAACCATGGATTGGAAAGCTCGTTTCTGGACAAAGTGAGACAAGTTTCTAAGCAATTCTTTCAACTTCCAAAGGAAGAGAAGCAAAAATGTGCTAGGGAACCAAACGACGTTGAAGGATATGGCAATGATATAATATATTCAGCAAATCAAAGGCTTGATTGGACTGATAGAGTATACCTAAAGGTGCTGCCTGAAGACACGAGGAAGTTCAAATTTTGGCCTCAAAACCCTGATGATTTCAGGTATACATCTTCTATAGCCTATCCAACTATCAATAAATCTGAGTGTTCTTTTGCATAGAACTAGCTAGCTCCACCAAAAGATTCTACTCTTTCAGATATTTTAATACACAAGCATGAATCAGTAAGTACTTTTTAGAAGAAGAAAGGAATGAAAAGATCAAATGAATCAATTCTCTCTCTCATTAATTACTTTAGTACCTTTAAATTCTCTCATTTAATTTCTTCAAAAGTTAAGATGCATGAATTATTTTTATAAAGAAAAGTTTCATTTATTTCATCTATATTTTCCTCAGTTCCAGTTAAGTACATAATATCAAATTTACAAGCATAAATTTCTCTTGGGCTAGTGGCACAAGTATTTGCTCATCACTTGCACATGTACATTGTATTTGATATCAATGAATGTCTGAATGCAGGAGTACGGTTCTACAGTATACGGAAAGCATAAAGATGCTAAGTGAAGTAATTCTTAAGGCCATGGCAAAGTCACTAAACTTGGAAGAGGATACCTTCCTGAACGAATGTGGAGAGCGATGTGATGCGTTTCTGAGATTCAACTACTACCCTCCATGTCCAATGCCTGATCATGTTCTTGGTTTGAAGACACATACGGATGGATCCACCATAACTTTTCTGTTGCAAGATAAAGAAGTAGAAGGATTCCAAGTCCTGAAAGATGATAAGTGGTTTAAGGTTCCAATCATCGCTGATGCTCTTGTGATTAACGTTGGTGATCAAATAGAGGTAATAGCTATAATTTCGTATCCTGTTTTGGATTAACATTTCTATAAATTGTTATAGAACATGAAAATAATAATGGAAAATAAATTACATTAAATTAACAGTTAATTTATTTCATTGAGAAGTTTATATAAATGTGGTGTTATACTCTAGATTTATGTCATTAATAGAGTTGATTGATACAGCAGTAATGCCTGTCCATGATTCCATGAATGTGATAACAGATAATGAGCAATGGCATTTTCCAGAGTCCACTGCACAGGGCAGTGATAAATGCAGAAAAGGCAAGGCTGACAGTGGCCATGTTCTTCCTCCCAGATTCAGGAAAAGAGATTAAACCAGTGGATAAGCTAGTGAACGAGTCAAGGCCAGTGTTATACAGAACAGTGAAAAATTATGTTGGGATATATTTCCAGCATTATCAGCAAGGGAAAAGGGCAATTGAAGCTTCAAAGATTTAACTTCTGATCTATCATGGTCTTCTCCGAATTTAGTTGAATAATAAGAACAATGATGCAGTTAATAGAATCTGTGTAACCAAATTGCAAGCTATGCTTGCTGTATTATAAATTGAAATCGTGTTATTTTGTTTGAAGAGTAAACTTTTGAGAATGATGTGCGGAGATTAAATTGTTATTACTGTTCAGGTGATAATATTAGTCATGATTGAGGTGATGATGATGCATATTACGAGTTAACATTGATAATTTATAATTTATATATAGAGATATATATATATAACTGTTTTATTTTTCAATTGTAATAAAAACAAACAAAATAAAAAATTATATAAGACAAGCTCTTTAATTTCAAATATTTTTAAAATGTAATAAATAAATAAAATGATAACATTAATATATATCTTTACTAATATAGAATTGATGTTTCTATTTTATTTCGGTATTTTTTAAAAACGCAAAAACATTATATATACTTCTAGTATAGATGATAAAAACTAAATACAATAATATTATATTAGTTTTTATTTTATTTTTTAAAAGTTTGTTATTAAATCTCTTATTAATATATTATGTATGAATAATTGATATATATATATATATATATATATATATATATATATATATATATATATATTAGTTCCTGGGTGTTATATTAAAATTGAATAAAGTTGTTTAATGCATATAGACTAACATTTTAAATTTTATATAGACCATCTAACATGATGGAACTTTTAAAAAAGTGTTGATTTTATCTATAAAAAAATATTAAAAAGGACTTTAAACATTTTGAAACTGAAATATATTTAATATATCATGGAAATAAATTGAATATTCAAAGTGCATTAATTACATTACGCAAATAAATTAAATGTTCATAATGCTTTTAATATATTCTAAAGTATGTGAAATATTTTAACGCATTTAATACTTCGAATAAGTTTTAAAAGTTAATTTAAAGGTTCTAATGATTGTAGCATCCCTAAAATACAGATATAAATAAATAATAAAAAAAATATCAATTAAATGATATAACCATTTATATATATATATATATATATATATATATATATATATAGATATATATATAGATATATAAGAATATATAATATGAAATAAATTAGATATAAAGAGATACGAAAGAATGAGTTGAAGATTAAATAAATTCATGACTAATTTTGTAGAGGAAATTTATAATTATTGCTTATGTATCTTTCTCTTTATAATTAAAGTATTTTAATGATCATGAAATGATTTTACAATAAAATAATTTATTATATGAATATGATCTTATTATTTTATGCTTTGCATTCTCATATAATTAATTTAGGTTCTTCAATAAAAGATTATTCTTGTAGAATTAATCAAGGTTCTCTTAATTAAAGAACCATGTAATATAATCAAGAAGGATACCAACTGAGATTTTGAGTTCAAATTTGTCAATAAGATGAAAAAGAAAAATTAAAATAATTAATGTCACGAAAGATTAAACTATGATGTGAATGCGACATAATTTGACGTCATCGGTTATATAGGAAGCATTAAGTACGTAATATTATTATTATTATCATCATTTATGAATGAAATTTACAATATCGTTGTGTTTCTGTTTAAAATAAAGTAGTTAAGATATAACATAACATGAAGAAAATTTATCAAGCTGAAAGCTTCAATATTTTACAACTATATTTACTATTCCATTGAAAGATCAGGTATGAATAATATTATTTTAAAATTAATTGAAACAGTTACTGCCTTTCATACTCAAGATCTTGAGATGCTATGATTTTTTTTAATATTAATTTTTTATTTTAATTTAGTTTCACAATATATATATATATATATATATATATTAATAAAAATATTGCTATTTAAAAATACCATAAATGATTACTCTTAATTATAAAGATATTATTGATATTTTTATACTGCATGTAATAGTATTAGTTATAATTATTATATATAAGTATTTGTAATAAATATCAAAACTAATTTCAGAAAAAATATACATATTTCAGAAGGTGCGAATAGAAAAGAAAAAAAAAAAAAGTGTTTAGCAAAAAGCATGATGAGGCCAAGCCAAGATATCGGGCCAAGGTGGACTGTTAATGGAATGATAATGGTATTGACATGACTAGGGCACAACGCAACAAGAAGATGGTGATTCTGAATTTCTGAGTAGGAAGGAAGGATAGTTTGGTCTTTGGGAAACACACGACACAGAACCACTTCGCTTTGCATTCGCACCCCTCTGCGTCACATTCCCATTCCGTAACCTTCTTTCCTTTTCATTTTCTCAATTTTATTTAATATACTCTTAAATTAAACATTCAAATTCTTGTTTCTAGGGATTTCTCAATTCCTATTCTGTTCTCCATGGACGCCGACGACGACGAAACTCCACTTCAACCACTCTCTGATGCACAATGCCACACCGACCTGCAAAATCTCCCCTACGCCGCTGCCGGAAACCCTGGCCCCGATACCGCAGGGGAGCTGACCGCCGCTGCCGCCGAAGATTTCGTCGCTGTTGAACCCGATGCGACGATGGAGACGGCGGTTGAGTCCAACGAGGGAGTTGGAACGCAAGTGATGTACGAGGTAATTGAGGAGAAGGGGAACGAGGGAAACCATGTGGATGACGTGGCTTTGGAGATGGAGAACGTTGAAGAGGAAGCGAATTTGGCAATTGATGCGGAAGAGGACGAAATTGGGGTCGAAAACAGAAATGAAGATGCTTTGATGGAAGAAGAAGAAGACGAACATCAACAAGGAGAGGATGGGGAGGAGGAAGAAGAAGAACAGCAACAAGGGGAGGAGGAGGAGGAAGAAGAAGAGCAGCAACCAGGAGAGGAGGAGGAAGAAGAAGAAGAAGAGCAGCAACAAGGAGAAGAAGATGCTGATGCTGACATGGTTATAGCAGAAGATACAGAGGAGAAGGAGGAGAAGAGTGTGAGTGGTGGGAAGAGGAAGCGTGGGGCTGGGAAGAATGCTAAGGCTACAGGGAGAGTTGCATCCAGAAAAAAGACGGAAGAGGATGTTTGTTTCATTTGCTTCGATGGGGGTGCCCTTGTGCTTTGTGATCGCAGGTGAAGTTTTTTCACTTGTGCCCGCAAATTTTTTTCTTCTATATTTCTAGTTGTATTAATTGTTTTTATGTGTTATTGTGAAAATTCATTGCCTTTTCTTTGCTGTTCAATAGGGGATGTCCCAAGGCTTACCATCCTTCCTGTGTTAATCGTGACGAGGCATTCTTTCGAGCCAAGGGAAAGTGGAACTGCGGTATCTTTCATACCACCTTATTCTGTTTTGTCTCAGTGTTTTAGTCGTGGTTGTTTAATTGCTATTTTTTCTATGGTCAGTCTGTTCAATGTTCGTTCTAGTTTGTTAATTGTGCGGGTGCTTTGTCATTCTATGAACACTTTTAAGGATTGGAGTTCAGATTCACAGTTGAACTGGAGTTTGAATATTTGTTGGTGGCATGTAGGTGACACTTATAAATTGGTAGTTGAGTAGTTACTTCAAGATGAGTTTAATTTCTATAAGCTGTTATCCTAAAACACTCCATTGGACTTTTTGGCTACATCATATTAATGAATGAAATCATATGGTGGTCTAGCTGTCAAATCTTTATTGGTTGGTAAAAGATGTTTTGCATTATTAGCATACATAAATTAAATTGAAGGTTATAAAAATATAGTCCACAACCTCAATTCAACGATTCAGATTCCAATACAACTAATTTCACGGTTGTTTGGCTTTTCAGCTTTCATATAATCATGACTGCCCTCATAATTAGAATACTAAGGAACAAATCTCTTCATAGATAAAACAACTAGTTAAGTCCTATAACAGGAGCCTCACAAAAGAATGTTACGGGACTTGCAATATTTGTAACATAAGTTGATTTTTTTATGATAGGAGCATTTGGCAAGTGTTTTAGCCAATAAATAGTTTCAGCTCACTCTATTGACTGGTGTTTAAGCTGTGAGAGAGGTGTCCATGATATATTGAAGAAGTGCCTGAGCTGGAACAAATTGTTTCTAATTGCGACACAATTAAGGTGTGTTTGATATGGTATGTTTGACAAGTATGGTGTCTGAAAAGGTTCTAAATTGATAAGTACCTAATTACTTCCACCCAAAACTAGCTATAAGGGAGGAGAACCAAACATTTAAAATCTTCACTGAGCATCCCATACGGCTTTCATTATATGACAATTTATTCCGTGACACTATACACAACTTCTTTGTTGGTCATACCTCTCCACGAGTCAGAACCCTTCATAGATAGCCATTTCTGAGGCATCAACAATAAATTCTGATACTATTAATAAGCACCTAAGCACTGGTTGAATCCACCCTCAAAGCTAGTCATTAAGGGGGAGAACCAGCTACTTAAATATTCCACCGAACTAATCCATACTACTCAATGTGGGACATAGGTAGTAAGCATACTAGTTTTTGACTTGATTAAGGGAATACAATTCATGAATCATTACCTTTTCTTTGCATGCAGTGTTTGAATCCTTTCACATCTCATACACCCTGGATATTTTGAATCACGAATCTCCTAAATCGTAACACTATTTAAAATTTATTATCCATTGCGGAATTTATTAGTTGGACATCAAAGGGTGTGATTTAAAAGTATGGTAGAGTACAAAATAATGTTTCATGTTTGACTTACAAAATATTTTGGGACTGCAGAAATCAAACTAGGACAGGACGATTTGTTTTCTGTAACAGAGGAATGTATTGAACAACTTTTTGTCCGAAGTACAAGACCTTCAAAAGGCAGAATTACCCACCCTCTCTCTTATCTCTCTCCTGCACCTCTCCTCCCCTCTCTCACTCCCACTCTGTTCAAAAGTATTGAATAACTGATTAAAACACATAAATAAGACTGCTCTGCAGCAATATACTTTTCCCAAGCAAATTTGAGGCAACTTTATCATCTAGATGGAAGCCAAGATCCATGTCCTTATTCATTCCGTATTGGGCAACAAAACCATAGTGAGAGTCCAGCCAGGATCCACCAAATTCAGTTTAGAAAACTGGAAATATAAGATGTATGAAATTAATCCCAAATCTGTGAATCTAGGCTTCCTGGTCTAAAAGACTGCAACATGTAAAACTTCCAGAATTACCACATTATTTTAGAAAGATAGAAGATGTGAATGATACATCAGCTTATATATATATATATATATATATATATATATATATATATATATATATATATATTAAAACATTCTATAACATAATATGAAGTATTGTAAATTGTTTTATATAAATATTAATAGAGTATTACAGTAAATTTTACATAACTTTGTTTGTTCTTTCATTGTCATCAAACAATTCACAGGGATCTACTGCAATTTAGATATTTGTTCTGTATTTTTATGCTTATTCTGTACCGAGTGTGTGTCAAATGCCCCCAAAATGCCTAAATTTCCTTGTAGTTCTTATTTTAGAATTTGTTTCATTGTATGTAGAAAATAGCAGCATATCATCAAATTGGTTTGTATTCTCATATCTTGGTGACTTATTGTAGGATAGGAGGTGATTGGTATTTGCAGTTAGGGATGCAAGTGATATCACTATTATCATTCTGAATTTTTTAAGAAGAGTTATTTTACCAATGTTATGGTAAAGTTAGGCTTGTCAAAATGGGCGACCAAAGATCTTGTCTTATGAGGCAATAAAAAAATAAAAATTGATGACTCCTTTTAGCATTTATTTTAAAATGGATCATAAATTTTAGTTTGGTCATATGTTAGACCAATAGATTAATTTTGGCCTGGTTGAAAAAAAAAATTTAACATGTCTATATAAAAATAACTTGTACAAAAATTAATCATAAAATAAAAATAATTAAAAATAAAAAATGTACTTTTAAATCTTAAGTTATATTAATGAATTTATTTTGTAGTTTAGATATAATGATTTGATATATAAGTTATGGGAGAACTGATCTATTCTCTCCAAGACTAAGAGTTACATACTTACATTATCCTCACCATTTATTTTTTAGTAATATAATAGTCTAGAATAGTAATTCATCTTAACCATTAAATCACAAGAGAACAAATGTTTAAAATGAATAATATGTCTCTTAACTCTTACTCTTGAACCGAGTGAATCATTTATCAAATTAATTTATAATACATATGTTTTAATAAAATAATATTACTTAATTTTTATTTAACAAATAATAACTATTTTATAAAATGGGCTGACCCACTTAGGTTACTAGTTAAACGAACTAGGTCAATTGACTTGATTTAGTTTAAGCTACAAATTTGTTGACCTAATTTTGTTTATATTTCAGGTTTGGATGACCCATTAGGTCAAATGTAATTTTACACCGTTAATTAAAGCTATCCTTTTTTTTAATATATTTAGAAATATTCTAAATCACTAAATTTATGATCAATTATATGGTAAATTTCTCTAACTAGTATACTGTATCTACGAAGTGTAACTGGGTTAAACTTCAATGCACTTTAATGAAGGGTAATGCTTATCACCCTTTTTTTATTCTTTGTTTGCACAGCCTTGTTTAGCCAGGAATAGTTATTGATATTAGATTTTATTTCTTGTATTGTAAGTACAATTGAACTAATTTTTAATGCCAAGGTATCAACTTGCAAAAACTCGATCATCTATACAACAGATTGCTTTACTGTATCTGACTTTTTATATGTTTGATCTTCATGATCCCAGGTTGGCATCTTTGCAGCAACTGTGAGAGGAATGCTAACTATATGTGCTATACATGTACGTTTTCTTTGTGCAAGGGATGCATCAAAGATGCTGTTATCTTATGTGTCAGGGGAAACAAGGGATTTTGTGAGACCTGCATGAGAACCGTAATGTTGATTGAACAAAATGAGCAGGGAAGCAATGTGGTACAACTTCTCCTTTTCTTGTCATATGAAAATTCTTATTTTAAAATGATGTGTGTTTTGTAATGATAAGTCTTTCTCCTTATGCCGTGCTTCAGGTAGTTTTAAAGGGGTAGTGTTTGTTATTTAAATATTTACTTTTCTTGTTGCTAACTTCTCTCTCTTGATTTCTCTTCAGTCACATTTTAGAATTTTTATGCATTCTGGTACTTGCATATTCACATGGAAATATTGTGCAATAGTGGTGCCATAGGGATGTCCTATAAGGTTTCTATAATGGAGTGGATTTCAGTAATGGTTATCACAGTGGCAATAAAATTGCCGCAATTCTTGCTCTAGAGTTTCACAACCATGATGGGTTTTATACACCTTCTCCAAAGCATTATTTCCTAACCAATCAAATTTTGTTTAGCTCTGGCCAAAACTGTTTGTACTTGCTTTAAAACACTATATATGCCAGAAAATTACTAGGTTAGAACGGATTTTTTTTAATTGTGTTGACATGTGACTAGTTAGTCTAATTATTGGCATTATTTCCTATATATGCTACAATAAGAATTTTGGAGAAAAAATATAATGCATGTACTAAATCCAATCTCTCCCCACTTATTACCGAACTAGCAAGCTTGTTATGAATGAAGTAACCTGTGGTTCATTTAAGGGATTTAATAAATATATCTGTTAACTGGTTATTAGAGTTGACAAAGGCATGAGGCCATTCTTTTCAGTTGAATGAACCTTTTATTTGATAAAATAACAGTCAATCTCTATAGGTGTGATTCTCTCATAAAAGACTTAGTTAGCTTGAATCTCCTAAAATAACTGCTTTTGCCACATATGTTGATGTTCACTGCCACTGTTTGATGCTGCCATGGTGTGGTACTAGCCTATGCTTTGGGTGTGGCAACTATGTTTTGCTTTGTGCTTTTCCATGACACTTAAGTTTCCTTTAACAAATACACAATAACCCAAAGTTGATCTTCTATGGGTGAACCTGCCTCTTTAGCATCATAATAACTGTCATCTTCAGCATAGCCCATGTTCCTACAAAAGTAACCCTTTTCCTGAGCACTCTTAATGTACCTAAGGATACCACAATATCCCCGTAAGACTATAACAAGGAACATTTGGAAACTGAGTTTCCATGAAACAAAAGTAATGTCTGGTCTAATTATTGTGAAATAGTTGTTTTTACCAACTGGATATGTATGTATGCTAGGTCTGTTAGTGGCTCCCCCTGACTTTGTAAGAGTTTGACATGTCCCCTGTGAATAGTCGATTTTAAACATAAAATGTAGATATATGATTTATAATGATATTAAACTAGGGCAACTCCTTTTGGCTATTAATAATTAATCTCCATGCTTGGTGCAGGGACAAATAGATTTTGATGACAAAAACAGCTGGGAGTATCTCTTCAAGGACTACTACATAGATCTAAAAGGAAAACTATCTCTAACATTTGATGAAATCACTCAAGCTAAAAACCCTTGGAAGGGATCTGATATTCTTCATTCTAAAGAGGAATCTCCAGATGAACTTTTTGATGCCACTAATGATAGAGGATCAGATTCAGATAGCTCTTATGAGAATGATTCAAGTCGCCCCAAAAGAAGAAAGGCAAAGAAGCGGGGTAAGTCCCGTTCTAAAGAAGGTAATTCATATAGTGCAGTGACAATGGTTGGTGCTGATGGGCCATCTGGGGATGACAGCTCTGAGTGGGCTTCAAAAGAGCTTCTGGAGTTTGTTATGCACATGAGAAATGGAGACAAATCTGTTTTATCTCAGTTTGATGTGCAGGCTCTCTTGCTAGAGTATATTAAAAGAAATAAGCTTCGAGATCCTCGCCGAAAAAGTCAGATTATTTGTGATGCAAGACTTCAAAATCTTTTTGGTAAACCAAGAGTTGGACATTTTGAGATGTTAAAGCTTCTTGAGTCCCATTTCCTTCTAAAAGAGGATTCTCAGGCCGAAGATCTGCAGGGAAGTGTTGTTGACACAGAAGTTAGTCATTTGGAAGGAGATGGTAATCCCAATCCATATATGAAAGCTGGCAAAGATAAGAGGCGTAAAAATCGCAAAAAGGGTGATGAGAGAGGACTTCAAACTAATGTTGATGATTATGCTGCTATTGATAATCATAATATTAATTTAATTTATCTACGACGTAATTTGGTTGAAGATCTACTTGAAGATACAGAGAAGTTTAATGACAAAGTTGTTGGTTCTTTTGTGAGAATAAGAATTTCGGGTAGTGGTCAAAAACAAGACTTGTATAGGCTGGTTCAGGTTGTAGGTAAATATCTCGATAACAACATTATTGCTATTGATATGGGCAATATAAAATAAATTTGATTTTTGTTTTTTTTTTTAATTATATACATGGTCAGGTACATGCAAAGCAGCGGAGCCATATAAAGTTGGTAAAAGGATGACAGATACGTTGCTAGAAATCTTAAATTTAAACAAGACAGAGATTGTATCAATTGATATTATCTCAAATCAGGAGTTCACTGAGGTGATTCAATGACAGCATTTTTATCATCCCTATTTCATGATATTCTGTTGCGGTTAATTAAAATAATTTATTTTAAAAGTAGTATCTTACCCACTTTAAAACATGGCATGATACTGATCATTGTATACCCCCAAACTCTAGTACATTCTAATTGCATGAAGAGTGACATTTAATTTGATAAGCAACTATACTTCTTGGTGGTGGCTTCAATTGGTCAAAATAAGTTTCAAGGACAACCTGTAGCCACTTTATTTGTTAGCCATAGAGTGAGTCTTTAAATTGGTTATCAAAACTTCTATAGTAGGAGTTTTTCAAAAACCTCCACAAAGTTAGTCCCTTGAAAACACTTCATTTCTCCTTTTGTATCACCACTTTAGTTCTTCATATAGATAAATGTGTTGATGTTTTAGAATTCAAGGGACTAAATTAGTGACAAAAATCCATAGAAGACTGGGTGATAGTGATAACTAATAACTAATCTTTGGATGTCTAATTTTGTACTAGATTCTTAACAATATGATGATGGGAATAAATTACTTGTTTCATTTAGATTTTTTCAGAATCTAACAAATTAAACATATGCTTAGATTAATGTATTTCCTTCCTTAAGATACTGATTGGTTACCTGTTAGGATGAATGCAAGCGGCTCCGCCAAAGCATAAAGTGTGGTCTCATAAATCGGCTAACTGTGGTAAGTTTATGTTCAATATACTCACTTTCAGGTATCAGATGTTATACTTGTCCTGATGACTCAAATTTGCCCTTGTAGGGTGACATACAGGACAAAGCATTGGTGCTTCAGGCAGTTAGAGTAAAAGATGTGAGTTGTTTTTTCTATACTCTTTATTTGGCCCTCGTGATGTGTTCACCATTCATCTTTTTAAAATTCTTAATTTCTCACTGTCTCGTTTTCACAATGATTTGTTTGATGTATTGAAGAAAATGAATGTCAATTAACACATTCAGTTTTACCAATGCATTGGTTTCTGTGGGTATGCTAATTGTTTTTAGATTGATGAAAAATCAATCCGTGTTCACTAAGAATCTTGACATAATCATATCTTCTGTCTGGTTAGATCCTTCAATTTGCAATGATGAGCACAATTAGGAGAGGGGTCATGATATTCTGTGTGTTTAAAACTTTCGTTGATAATCTCTAGCTTAATCTGTTAGGGGTATTAATGTCCTTCAGGAAGTCAATGGAAGATTACTTCACCTTGGAAGTTTACCTATTTTCCCAATTTAGTTTAAATTATCAAATAAAGGTCTTGGTGTATTTTCATCAAATATGCGTTTCATTTCTTAATGATTTATTGTCTTGTCAATCTTTTATCTGTGAAGTCTGTAATAAATTTTCTTTATAACCTATGTTTTGATTTCCAATGCAGTGGCTAGAAACAGAGATAGTGCGACTGAGTCATCTCCGTGATAGAGCTAGCGAGAAAGGACGTCGAAAAGAATATCCTTTTCTTTTATGGAATATGCAAATATGTATATGATATATCTGGCAGTATTTTGTCCTTGTTACTTTTCATTTACTTGATGTATTTTGACTTCTTGTATCATTGCTTGATCTCTTTTCATCCACTTTAATGCTCACCTTTCATTCTTGTTGAAAACATCCATCTATGACATTATCAGGATGTCAAAATAGAAATCTGTGGACTGTTTCTTGTATATTCCTGTTATCAATTTGTTTTTGCCTCAGCTCCAAATAAATTTGGAATTGATAATTCATAAAATGTAATAATGTGAGTGAAGCAAATTTTTTAAGGTGTTCCTAACTACTTGGGAACCTAGATCATATATTTGAAAATAAGATATCTGAAAATTTTAAAATTGGTTTTAACATGTTGAATATCAGGATGTTGAACTTTTCACACAAATCCTATAACTATGATTCCTAATAACTTGTTCACTTACCAAACAAATAACTAAGTTTTAGTATGATGTCTTCAGTGGGTCAAATATTCAGTCAAATGGATGGATGATTGGACAAAATGCTTTGAAAAATTTCTCTGGCAATGTTTGTGTTCCATGTATTAATGATGTTTAAACATTCCTGTACATATTAAAGGATTTTTCATTGTCTTTTTATGTTATCTAGCACCAGTATTTGGATTCAAATGGGCAATAATCATGTTAATTTTTTGTCTAACTGGATAATGTTTGCTAATCGCCTAGTAGTTTATAATATAGTCATATTATTTTTAGCAAATATTTTTTTGTTACGTTATATTTGACCAAAAAACACTTTTTGTGTTGATCTTTGACCTACTGCTCTCACGCTCAGAGAATGTGTAGAGAAATTACAGCTTTTAAAGACACCTGAAGAACGTCAACGTAGGTTGGAGGAAATTCCAGAGATACATGTGGATCCAAACATGGATCCCAGTTATGAGTCTGAAGATGATGAAGATGAAATGGATGATAAAAGACAAGGTAGTTCTTAAAACTGTTTGAACTCTTAGGATTCAAAATAAAAAAGTTTGAACTTGTAGTAAACTAATGTTGTTTTGTTCTTTTGTAACATTTGGTGATAATTTGATTTCTACGTCCGCAGAAAACTACATGAGACCTAGAGGGTCTTCTTCCTTTGGAAGGAGGGGGAGAGATATTGTTTCTCCTAGAAGTAATGATTCTTGGAGTGGAACGAGGAATTATTCTAATGTGAATCAGGAACTTAGCAGAAATTTGTCCAATAAGGGATTTTCAATCAAAGGTGATAATGCTTCTAATGTTAACGAGGTTCTGACCGATACACAATTTCACCAGGGAAGAGATAGGGAATCACAACTATCGAATAGCTGGGAGAGGCAAAAGCTCTCTTCAAGCTTGGAAAGTGGTGCTAAAAGCACCCAATCATTGGTAACATCTGATTCTTTCACTACCGCTGTATTAGAAGCTTCTGCAGTACCATCCTCTGTTGGAATAGCTCCTCCAGCTGTGAAAGTTAATGAAACTGAAAAGACCTGGCATTACCAGGATCCTTCCGGAAAAGTTCAGGGACCATTTTCCATGGTGCAGTTACGTAAATGGAGTAATACAGGATACTTTCCTGCTGATTTGAGAATTTGGAGAACTACTGAGAAGCAAGATGATTCTATACTTTTAACAGATGCCTTAGCAGGGAATTTTTCTAAAGAACCACCGATGGTGGATAATGCTCAAAAGGTGCATGATTTACATTACCCAGCCTCGTTCTCTAGGAAGTCTGCACAAGGTATGGAAGGTCAAGTTGGAGAAAGAACAACATTTGATCACAATAGTGGGTCTTGGAATTCACATAGTACTCTTGGTTCTCCAGTACAAACTACAGGCGGAAGTTGGAGATCTAAAGATAATATGAATTCTTTAGCAAATAGAACCTCTCCATTGGCAGTTGAGATCCCAAAGAACCCAGCAAATGGCTTGGGTTCTGATGCTGGTGGTAGAAATGAAGCAACAAATCTTCCTTCACCTACACCTCAGACTACTCCTGGTGTGACCAAGGGGCAGGCTTTTGAAAATAAATGGTCACCAACACCTGTCCAGCTTCCTGGGTCTCTCGTAGGAAATTCATTCCCAGGTAATCATGGAGGTTTGCAGACCTCTGTGGTACTGCACCCAGAGCATGCTGTACAAAATCCTGAAAAGGCTTCCTGTTCACAACCTGGTATTAGCTCAGCGTCTACAGATAATACTAAGTTACATCCTCATCCAACAGCAGTGGCACCTGTCCTGCCTTCAGGGGTTGACCTCAAAATGGCAGGTACAAATATGCAAAACCAGGTTGTGCGTAGCCACAACTCTCATGCTGAAGCTCAAGGGTGGGGTTCTGCTGGGGTTCCAAAGCCAGAACTACAGGCTTGGGGAGGTGTATCATCTCAACTAAATAATCCTGCGACTATGCCTGTCCAGCCAGCATCCCATGGCCCCTGGGGCGATGCTTCATCTGTGCAAAACACTGCCTCGTTTAACAGTGGAAATCCATCTGCAAGTTTACCCACACCTGGATTTCTGGGAATGAATACAGCCGAGCCTTGGAGACCACCACCCTCAAGTAGTCAGCCAAACATCACAGCTCCATCTCCAGCTCCACCCAACATGCCTTGGGGAATGGGCATGCCAGGAAATCAGAATATGAACTGGAGTGGGGTTGTACCTGCCAATATGAACGTAAACTGGATGCCTGCACAGGTGCAAGCATCAGGAAATTCAAATCCAGGATGGGCTGCTCCTAGTCAGGGGCTACCTCCAGTGAATGCAGTTGGTTGGGTTGGACCTGGTCAAGGCCGTTCCCATGTCAATGTGAATGCAGGTTGGGTTGGGCCTGGTCAGGGTCTAGCCGCTGGAAATGGAAATCCTGCTTGGACTGCACCGGCTGGGAATCCGGGCATGTGGGGAAGTGAGCAAAGTCATAATGGAGACCGGTTCCCCAACCAAGGGGATCGTGGTACACACAATAGAGATTCTGGTTATGGTGGTAAAGCCTGGAACAGGCAGTCATCATTTGGCAGAGGAGGTTCTTCCAGGCCTCCTCCTTTTGGTGGACAACGAGGAGTTTGCAAGTATCATGAGAGTGGACATTGCAGGAAGGGGGATTCTTGTGATTTTCTACACACTTAGTTGTAGGGCTAATTAATTAGTCTCAGGGAAACATCTCTTACTGTACAGTATTTTGCAATTTCATGGTTAAACGTTGTGTAAGGATGCGTCATGTATGTAGAACTTGTGCATTGTAGTATCTTGTTTATTTATCTTGCTTAATTGTCTTTTTGGGGGCTGTGTTACTTAGAGTTGACTTTTGCGAGAGTTAAGTAGTTGAACAAGTTGATCTGGCTTTTTAGATTATTAGTAATGAAAGAAAGTTGAGGTTATTACGTTTTTCTTTTGCTAAGAATCGTTTTAGTGCGGGAAAGCATTAGAACATGTATGACATGGAATAATTTTCAGATGAGTTATCTCTTGTGGCAATGATCATGAGTTTACAAGCGGCCTGACATTACTTAAGCTTCAAACTAGCAAATATCTGGAGATAGAGAATGAAAAGAAAAGGAATACTAATATGAGAGATTTTTTTTTGAAACAGCTGTGAACCAAAACCCAACACCATCCCATTTCTTCGCCACCATTATCTATCAAGTGCTGCTCCAAACAGAATATTCCACGATCCAAAATTATGCTACTGTGGCTGGACAGATTTTCCATAATCATTGGATTTCTGATTTGGAAATGAATTTGTCACACAATCATTCCACAGATTACATCAAATCTCCCTAGCTTTAGGAAAATCACAAAAAATACGAAGTCAAATTCAGTCTTTTCCCAGTCACTGTTTGTCATGCATCCATAATATCTTTAGAGCATCTGTATGTAGGAAGTATACCAAAAGCTGTCTTCCAGATAGTTTTAAAAATTTCATTCACTTGCTGTGCAGGTTGTGAACTCCCCATTCTAGTCCCATCCCAATTAAAGTGTTCATGGATCAGTTTGGATCTGAATTGATCTAATTATATACTTTTGAGATTGTTTGTAGATTTCTATGATTGCTTATTCATTTGTTCCTTTATAAGAAGAATAGAAATATATTCTTTGATGATACATATGATATTTTTTGTTTGAATTTGTTATCATATAAAATTAACTGAAATCCATAAAATAATGTGAACTTTGTTATGTGTATAAAATTCTCATGAATTTTATTCAATAATGTTAATACAATGGAAAATGAACAAGAAGTGTTGTTGTTTGTCTTTTTAAAAAGGACGATGACTAGTACAAACTCTAAAATTATAGTGGAAGCAAAAAAAGAAAAAACGTTGAAGTTGGAAATGGATTCTTCGGCTTGTAGGTGTGGCAAACTCCCTTAAACAAAGTGTCCATCGGAGCTCAATCCAACCACAAAGCTAATAACCTAACAGAGTGTGAAGAATATTTTCATCAGTAATTTAGTACCAAAATTACTTGTACCAGTTTACACAAATAAAAAAAATATCCATTCTATGATATTGCTTGAAAATTCAGAGAAATAATAAAAGTCCCTCTCAATAAATTTATGACACATGAGATTGGCAAGTATCTGTATAATAATAGAACAACATATTCTACATAATTTTCCTTTCCTATTTCTATCGTCATAATTTAATGGAAAGATTTGTATTCCTTCAATTATTATAAAAAACAATAATTTATTACGTCCTATGTTATCAAAATAACTCAATTAAAAAGTGTCACGTTTTAACAAGGAATGATTGTTTCGGATTTGTGTTGTGTGATAATCTTACAATGGAAAAAATAAAAAGAAAAAGGGCTCACGAAAATTGGGATCAATCTTTTAGGATTTGCGGAATGTTAAAGCAGAATAAAATTCTTTGAGTGCATGCACCAAATAGCAATAGCAAGAACCAATTCCATTTTTTCTGTATTGTTCAGTGCCTTTTTATTCTGACTCATAGTTTAGGGAAACCAATTTGGGTTGAGAGGGATTAAAGAAGAACCAAAAATTCTTTAGGTTATCTTGGATGGAGAGATAAGTATAATTTTGTCCTTTCACGTGCATCTTTTTGGAATCCACTGCACCACCCACTAACTTCTCAACTTTTCCTTCCAAAAACGAAAAACTTCTCGACTTCCAATTAACTACTTCCAAAACCCGTGGCACACAATGGAATCTCATCGTGAATTCTCTACCAATTCTTAAACCTTAAATTTTTTATACATTATTATGCCTTAAATATTTAAGGTAAATACTACCCTAATACTTGTATGTTCTTAGAGTTTGATCATTACAAGAGTGAAAGGTTGTACATTTTAGGAGATTTTCAGAGCAAAATTTCTGTTGAAATATATACTATCTGAGCCTGGTTATGATTTTCTTTGCTGAACAAGAACCTCCTCCTGCTAAACTTCAAGAGAAACCATTATCATCATTTAAGCAAACACTTGTCAAATAAATCTGGTAAATGATACACAAAAAACATACATTGATAAAAATTTATCAAGTATTCAAATGCAGCTCCATAAACATCACGTTGAGGGTGATAGAAATTCAGATATAATGTGTTCTTTTATCATGCATCATATTAGGCTATTTTAGTTATATTTACTTCTATCTGTTTTCATTAAATATTTGTTTGTTATTTTTCCTAAATATTTTCTATCGTCTTATTATAATGCCTAAAGTAGTAGAAAGGTGTACATGTACATGAATGCCAATAATCTAAAATCATCTGAAACCACTATGCATACATGATGAAAATTACAAGACGAAGGTGTTAATCATCATAAAAAAAAGGAAGGAAATTATTAAGTACTAATTTATCTAAAGTTAATACTAAGAAAAAATACTAACAAAAATGTTAAGTATTTAAAGGAATTTTTTTATAAAGAGTAAAATAAGAAAGGAAAATATTTTGATAGATTTGAAATATATTTAAGTCACTTATTTTATTATTTTTAAATTGTGTAATGATAGAAAAAATAATGATTATTTTTATATTACATATATTTTTAATATATTATAATTATTAACTCTAAAAATTTAAATATATTTTATTTTTCATCATTAAAAGATAAAATATCTTTTTTTATATAGTATATCTAAAAAAGTTACCTACATATTCAATATTATACTATTGAAATTAATATATATAAAATAAATTATAAGTTCTGAGTAAAATATAATTATTTTTAGTAAAACGTAATATAAAAAATAAATTATTGAATGAACAAAAAACATATAAAATAAGTTATTAAATAATAAATTTATTATTGAATATAACTATGTTTAAGAAAATATATTTCTCTTAATTTAAAATATCATTTATTACCTTATTTATATTAACTAATATTTTGTATTTTTAAGTTTAAAATGAATATAGTTAATAATAAGAACTAATGTTAGAATTTATAATTAATAAATGTTTTTGGAAGACTAAAAGTAGATATATGTATATATCATATTTACATGGATGGAAAATATATTTAAACTTATTTCATTTTCAATAATAAAATACAAAATGTACTAGATTTTATTTTTTAAGAAAATGAAAAGCTTTTTTAATGTAAGTTCTATTTCTTATTTAATAGGTCATTGAAAATTCTTTATTGTTATAATGAATGTATTGAATTTTGAACGTGAAAATACTCAATGCTAAGTTGCGTTTATACAATAACCATGTAACCAGAAAGGTAAAATTATGAAACATGTTTACACGAACCTATATGTTTTTAATTGTATTGTAATACTTTTTTTCTTTTAAATTTGTTGTAATGTTAATATTATTATATTTCTTTAGTTATTTACTTTTCAATTTTTGTTCTAGAATGTAATTAATCTATCGTATTTTTTAGTATTTATTTTAAAGCCCGATATATATATATATATATATATATATATATATATATATATTAATTAGTATTTTTATGATTATAATCAATCATGTTTTTATTTCTATAGGTAGTCATCATTAGTAAAAGTGTGTTAAAAATATAAATTTTACGAAAATAATAATTTTATAGTTTCTACAATTTTTTTTACAAATATTAATAAAAAAAGTATGTTTAATGTCGTATAATATAAAAATAATTAATAGAAAAATGTAATATTTAAATAGAATATACATTTTTATGATTGAAAATAATACATCTTACAGTGTTTCTGTTTGCATGTGACCTCACTGACACTCTCTACTTTCACTGTCGGCGCTTTCAACGCACACATCCCCTCCCTCCAAATCTCTCTCTCTCTCTCTCTCTCTCTCTCTGTTTCTTTGTTTTCAAGGCTCACCCCGTGACTCCCTCTCTACCACCTCCGCATTATAAATAACACCCACTTCTGACGGTTATCTAACCATCCCATTCCACAATGGCACTTCCCACGTCAAACCTATTTCCACTTCTTCTTCTCCTTCTTCTCTCTCTCTTCGCTAAGTCCGGGAGCGCTCACGATTACGCCGAGGCATTGTCCAAGGCAATCCTCTTCTTCGAGGGACAACGCTCCGGATTCTTGCCGCAGGACCAGAGAATGACGTGGCGTGCCAATTCGGGTCTCAGCGACGGATGGACCTACAACGTCGACCTCACCGGCGGCTACTACGACGCAGGCGACAACGTGAAGTTCGGGTTTCCGATGGCATTCACCACCACAATGCTCTCCTGGAGTGTGATCGAATTCGGAGACATGATGCCTCCCAACGAGCACAGAAACGCGCTGGTGGCAATCCGTTGGGCTACCGATTATCTCCTCAAAACCGTTTCACAGCCCAATCGCATTTTCGTTCAGGTAACTAACTCACTCATATCATCCAATCACATAACCAACATTACCCTTCACTTTACTATATTTGTTTTCTACCCAATGTTTATTCCAATGGCTGTTTCGTAAATTCTCCTGCCTCATTATCACGGGCTCAAGGGATGCATCATGGATGAATGGATGGATGCCCTTTCCATCTCCTCTTGTTTTTTTATTACTAATTATTAATCTATATATTTTTTCTTATTTCATATAATCAATTTTTTTTTCATAAGTGTCGTTTTCTTTCTTTCTCGTTACACTAAGGAGCCAAGTTTTTATGCTTGGACTTGTAAATTGATGATCCAAACTCAGCTTCTTTGTTCCATCAAACTTTTAAGTTTTTTTTTTGGTAGGGTATATTGTTTTTCGGTAGAAATTAGAAGTGGTTAAAAAGTAAATAAACTTAAATTTATTTGTTAAATTTATTATAATTTTATTTTATTTTTATGAAAATTTCCTTAAATTTTACCAATTTAGTATTTGAATATTATTTTAATACCAATTTAGTTATAAAAAATATGCATAACTAAATTTAATTAAAATTTATGTTAATTTATTTAATTTAATAAAATATTTCAAATAATTTATTAATACCTTACACACGTATTGATAAATACGTCTCACACATAGCATTACGTTGACAGAATTTCGGGCCCGTATATTTTTTATCATTTGATGATATGATATGATATCTACTGGTATTATTTTGAAGTTAATTATAATCATGACAAATGTGGTACGAAGAGACGTGAGAAGAATATTTTTACTCAAAAATAAATAAAACAGTGATAGTATCCCACTCTCTTAAATCGCCCTGCACTTATTTATTTCTATCTGCTCATTTCAGTAGATTCAGTAATCATGCAGGATTGCTTGACTTTTTTATTTTTATTTTTTATAACCGAATAATACATCAAATTTACCACCCCGAATAGAATTCTAACAAATTCCTATCACCGGCTTATGTTTAGTTACAAATTCTACAAGGATTTATCCATAATCACTACTGCTACTGTTTTTCAAATGGAATTCTACTCTAACGTGGACAAAACTATTTTGGAGAATAATTTGCTTATTAATTATTTTTTTAAGTATTAATAAAAGGTGGTAATTAGTTTATATATATATATATATTACCATTTTAAATTGTTTATTTTTCTATTTTAACAGTTTTGAATGTACGGCCTTTTCACTTTTCAAATAGTCTCTTGATAAAGTTAGTTAACTTCAGCACTATGTTTGAAAATATTTTTAATTTTAAAAATATTAATCATTAAATTATTTATTAAATAATTCCATTACGTGTACACAATGAAAATACACTAGGCGTAGGTCATTCAAACAAATTTCATTATACCTAATAATAAGGCAATTATTTTATATTTTTTTAATTTTTTTCTCATTAAATAATATTTAATTTCGATTTTTCCTAAACTAATGGTGCGTTTGGGTGGCGGTGGGTCAAGATAATGTAATAGCTTTTCGTGGTGTCTACGGGGTTTTTATATTTTTCACGTAAAATTGGCGATTGTAGGTGGTCAGATAAAATTTTATTGAATAACTAAAAAAAAAGTAGGAGTATTATTTGCTAATTATTTGTCTTTTTGTGATGCACGAGTGGACCGCTTTTGATCCTCGAAGTCCGTGAGTTTCATAGGTTTATCTATCAACTGTCCCCTCCAGATTTCACAATGCCAAATTTAATTAATAATAATTTTCCCTGGAAGAATGTACATTACCAACGCTGCAAGGCTGCCAGTGTGTTAAATTCCCCTTTAATTTAAGGGGTAACTTAAGTTAAAGCACCGGTAATGAGAATTAGTAACAATGTATGTATGTATGCAGGTGGGTGATCCAATCTCTGACCACAACTGTTGGGAAAGACCCGAGGACATGGACACAAGTAGGACTGTGTATGCTGTTGATGCACCAAACCCAGCTTCAGATGTGGCTGGTGAAACTGCTTCGGCACTGGCTGCTTCATCCATGGCTTTTCGTTCATCGGATCCTGCTTATTCAGAGACTTTGCTGCGAAACGCTGTCAAGGCATTTCAACTCGCCGATAACTATAGGGGTGCCTACAGTGACAATTCTAATGTTAGGGATGGTGTGTGCCCATTTTATTGTGACTTCGATGGATATCAGGTAATTTATTCACTTGTTACTTTCAATAGGGGGGTTGCCTTTTTCTTTTACATCCAATGTACCATAATAATAGCCTTTCAGGATCTTATTTGCAGTTTCAGTCCACGAGACAATAAAAAGGATAAGAAAAACGACGCCATCTTGCGAAATTCAATAATTCCGTCTATATATATTTCTAGTCATTTTTATTACTCTTCGAAAAAAAAAATACTAACATAAAAACTAAATCTAGTTAAATTTTAAAATAATTTTTATCATTTTCTTTATTTAATAAAAAAATATTTTACTTTTTTGCTTTGATATAATGGATTCACATGAGTTAAATTAACATGGGTCACGAGAATCTTTGGGACAGCCTCAAAGGGACATGTGACCATTTTTCAGTCAGCATCAAACTCTATTGGACAAATCATATGATTTGTAAACCATAACTATGCAATTATTATATATGTATGTTTTTGATAGAATTTATTTTGCTATAATTTGTGTAATTGGAATCATTTGGATTTTGACACGTCAATTGTCATTTACTTAATATGAACAGGACGAATTGTTATGGGGAGCCGCATGGCTGAGGAGGGCCACTAAGGACGACAATTTCCTGAACTACATTCAAAGCAATGGCAAAACGCTTGGTGCTGAAGAAAATATAAATGAGTTCGGTTGGGACAACAAGCATGCTGGCCTTAATGTTCTTGTCTCCAAGGTCAGTCTCCCATAACCTTACAATCAATACAATCACTCTCTAAATGACACAAATTAATTCGTGACAAGCACTAGTATATATCATTCACTTAACATTCGCATACAAATAATTAAAAGGGGGTATGCATATATCTCTTAACTAACCAAAATTTCCGTTCTTAGGAAGTTATAGAAGGAAATGTATTATCTCTTGATTCCTACAAGACTTCCGCAGAAAGCTTTTTGTGCACACTGATACCCGAAACATCAAGTTCACATATAGAGTACACTCCCGGTGGACTCATATACAGGCCAGGTGGTAGCAACTTGCAGCATGCCACTTCAATCGCTTTCCTTGAATTGGTTTACGCTAATTACCTATCACGCACTTCACAAACCATCAATTGTGGGAACATCTATGTGAATGCACAAACTCTTCGCCAGCTTGCTAAGAAGCAAGTTGATTACATTTTGGGCGATAACCCAATGGGCATGTCGTATATGGTTGGCTATGGTAACAAGTATCCACAACGTATTCACCATCGTGGCTCATCTTTACCGGCCATTAAGGACCATCCTCAAGTCATTGCCTGCAAAGAAGGTTCAATCTACTTCAACTCAACCAATCCTAATCCTAATGTTCTCGTGGGAGCCGTAGTGGGAGGACCCGGAGAAGATGATGTGTATGGGGATGATAGGGCTGATTTTAGGAAGTCCGAACCAACCACATATATTAATGCACCATTTGTTGGGATTTTAGCATACTTTGTTGCTAATCCCAATCCTTGATTGGTAACTACAATTGGGTACAGATCCAAGTTACTTTACCTTGTGTAAATAAAAAAGATACACAGAAAAGATGTCTCTCATCTTGAGAACAGCAAGAGTGAAGAGGCTTGCTTTGTGTTGGATACATAGGAGGAATGATACAGAATTTCAAGTCCCGGAAGTTGTTCGTGACTTTTTCACCGGGAAGGATGAAGAGCAAAAAGCTCGATTACTATACAACCAAGTGTTTTTTAATTTTTTTTTCTTATTTCTTGATTTTGCCAAGAAATATGAGTGAGATTGTCCTACCGGGGATTTTTTTTTTTCGGCGCATCACATTGTGTGTATGGGTTTATGATTCTTGATCATGATTGTTTGAAAAATCAGATGTGTGGCTTCCTTTATAGTAATGTGTGGATTCCTCTGCGGTGAAGCTAATAGAAGAGTACATAACGATTCAACTAACAACTAAAAGCATCCACTAAACCATAAATTGATAAATTGAAAGCCAAAGCGTCTCTATGTGTAGAGAAATGGATTTTCGCTTTCAAATCTATGGTTTATAAAGAAAGCGAGAAGCAGGAGGGAAACCTGCGTACATTAATGGATCAAAATTCAACACATGCATAAGAATCAATAAAATATTATTTTTTAAATAATAAAATATTATATAAATAATATATTGAAATATATCAAATAATTTAAAAAAAATTATAACTGACAATTTCTTACATTAAATTTGAAAGGTTAAAATGAGTTTTTTTGTTTAATCTAAGATACTAAAAATATTTTACTTCAAATTTCATATTTCGAAAACATATCTAAACCATATTTTTAAATGAACCAATTTAAATAAAATGCACAATTAAATTCACATATTTCTGACAACCACAAAAACGAAAAATAATGAACTTATATATTTTCTTAATTTTGAAAAATATACATTTTAAAATAAAAGTATATGAATAAAATTAAATTTAATAAAAAAATACGTAATACATATTTTTGAAGAGAAAGATTAGAAATCCTAACATTAAATAAAGTTTTTGGTTGCAGGTCTAAAGTAAGAGTTTGAAGCACGTTACGTTTTGGTATACCCTGGATATGACTAGAATTGAATCCCTTTCTACATTTGTGAGAAGAAAGGAATAAAGTCGGGCATGTTTAAGTGGGCCTAAAACTAAGCCCAACGGGGAATTTGAGCGATTCTTCTTTTGTTAGTAAGTAAAGGAGAAAAAGAAACTGAGGAAGCACCTTTGACCATGAAACAAGAGAGGGGGATAGCACGAGCTCACAAGCTTTCTCAGTGCCACACAACTCTTTTTGTCCTCTTCAAATCTTTATAACACAAGGACGGATCCTCCATGGTAGAGGAAAAGAATCTTCAATGTCTCTAACACTACTCAAGAAACGTCTTCTTCCAAGATTAAAAGGCTTGAAATGGATGCAGTTAGTTTGTTTGAAATGTTTAGTCATTAGTCATCGAAAATATCCCTTTCTTTTTACTCACTCCTCATATTTATCATTTTTATAATTATTGGTAAAAAAGAAAAAGAAAAAAAAAACGACGGAGAAGAAGCAAGTTGGAATTTCTGGGACGATATGGACGATTGAAAAGAAATGATAGGGAGACCTGAATCTCAGGAGATCCTGTCATTGAATCTCCACCATTGCTTAGTAAGAATGAAACGAAGCGCAGCTACGCTAGGTCAATTCTAACCTCATACTTACTTTCCCTAACGTCATTACTTTTGTTTTGTACATATAAACATACGTAGTTTTGTGAAATAGCAACACGACAAGAGCAGAAAATATCTTGGCGTTTGGAGGTGAGAAAAAAAGCATGCATATGAACCACGTACGGTATGCCACATCAGCAGAAATTATCATCCACGTGTCAAGTGAGGAGAGGCCAAGTCACCTCAGCCTCAAACGAAACATCACTTGCAGAGTTATAAAAACATAGAGGAATTGCATGTGTGGTAGAAAGGTTGGTAGTGGCTGGGATAAGATTGTAGCAGCATACTAGTTAGGCACGCCACACCACCCCACAACACAGGTATCTACATTCAACAATGGCCTCTGCTTCTGCTACTCTTCTCAAGTCATCTCCTGTTCTCGACAAGTGCGAGTGGGTCAAAGGTCAGACCCTTCGCCAGTCTCCAGTGTCTGTTGTGAGATGCAACCCCGCTTCAGCATCAGCTCTCACCATCCGAGCTGGTTCCTATGCTGATGAGCTCGTCAAAACCGCGGTATATTATATATTATCTCACCAACTTGTAACTTTTAAATGCTATTAGCCCGGTAGCAAGTAATGGTTTGATTGATGATGTGACTGTAGAAAACAGTTGCCTCACCTGGGCGTGGTATTTTGGCCATGGATGAGTCAAATGCAACCTGCGGGAAGCGTTTGGCATCAATTGGGTTGGAGAACACTGAGGCTAACCGCCAGGCATACCGTACCCTACTCGTCACAGCACCTGGTCTTGGTCAATACATCTCTGGTGCCATTCTCTTTGAGGAAACTCTCTACCAATCAACTGTTGATGGAAGGAAGATCGTTGACATCCTTCTTGAGCAGAACATTGTCCCTGGTATTAAGGTCGACAAGGTAACCCTCTGCAGCTTCAACTATCACACTTTCTACCTTACTATACCTAGTAAAATCTTTCTCTCTATTAATTAAATTCTATAATATATTAAAGTGAACGAGGGAAAGTGAGCTTTCATGGCAGTGTGTCCATGAATGTTAGTTAATATATGGGTGGTTTCATGTACTGTAAACTAGGGTTTGGTGCCCCTGGCTGGTTCCAATGATGAGTCGTGGTGCCAAGGTCTGGATGGTCTTGCGTCTCGCTCAGCTGCATACTACCAGCAAGGTGCCCGTTTCGCCAAATGGTGAGTGTCTATTCCCAATGCTTGCTTCTTATAAGTCCATAACTATTTTTTACATCTCACCAATCTTATACATTGTAGGCGTACTGTTGTGAGCATCCCCAACGGTCCCTCTGCTTTGGCAGTCAAGGAGGCTGCCTGGGGTCTAGCTCGCTATGCTGCCATTTCACAGGTAAGAAACTAAACCATTCAAATATTATGCAACTAATTACCAGTCACTTATGAGGTATACAATTTTAGTACTTTTCGTTATGTATCTGTTTAGAGTACCAGCTCTAATGCCTGAGGGGATTATTGATTTATTTAATATGTAATGTAATGAATTAGGACAATGGGTTGGTCCCAATTGTGGAGCCAGAGATCTTGCTTGATGGTGAGCATGGAATTGACAGGACATTCGAAGTAGCTCTAAAGGTGTGGGCTGAGGTCTTCTTCTACCTTGCTGAGAACAATGTCCTGTTCGAGGGTATTCTCCTCAAGCCTAGCATGGTTACTCCAGGAGCTGAGTCCAAGAACAAGGCCACTCCTCTGCAAGTTTCTGACTACACCCTCAAGCTCCTCCACAGGAGAATCCCACCTGCTGTCCCTGGAATCATGGTCAGTGCTTAAAACATGCATTGTTCCAACTTGGGTAAATGTTAATGTTATGTTACTAAAAACAATGGTTCATGTAGTGACCAAAGTAGTATTGTCTTGAATTGTGCAGTTTTTGTCTGGTGGACAATCTGAGGTTGAAGCAACCTTGAACCTGAATGCGATGAACCAGTCTCCAAACCCATGGCACGTGTCCTTCTCCTACGCCAGAGCCCTCCAAAACACCTGCTTGAAGACATGGGGAGGTCGCCCAGAGAACGTGAAAGCAGCACAAGACGCACTTCTTTTCCGTGCCAAGTCCAACTCTCTCGCTCAGCTTGGAAAGTACACTGGAGAGGGTGAATCTGAGGAAGCCAAAAAGGGAATGTTCGTAAAAGGCTACTCCTACTAAGTTATACGTTTCCTGCACTGAATTGAATTTATATGTTCCCTACTAAGTTACAGTAACCCAAGGTGCTTGCTGGTGGAGGATGGAACAATAATTTGTCAGAATTGTGTTGTGGTTTATATAGTCTTGAACACTGTTTTCATTCATCATGGTTACTTGTACCTTTTCAACTTAATTAATGAACTTCTTGCCAATGAAATACGAATACTCTACTTCAAGTTGCACCATCAAAATGTTCTAAAATCTAGGCAGTTTTATAATAAATAAATCGGAGGCATTTTTGTTGCACAAATATAACACAACATGACTATTACCGAAGTGTATATTTCTTTGTTGACCTTTACATATTTGTATTAATAAATTTAAATTATACAATATATATACAAGTGCATGGTTACTTGCTGGGCTTATTGGGCTAACAAATAAAAGAGAGAGGTGAGGACACATGACAAAAATATGAATGGAAAGTGATGAGTAAAGAAGAGAGATGAAATGAGTTTGTATTTATTAAGGGAAGGTGTGGAAACCACTTTTTTTCTAATTTGTATCAATTAAGTGACGAAATTAAAACAATTCACTTGTTTTTTTTCAATTAACTGACTTTGATCATAGAAGAATGAGATTATAACAGACATTTGATAGAATAGAGTAGAGTGCATAAGGTTTTATAATTTTTGCTATTTTTTATTGTTGATCTCGAAATACATTTTATAACTTTGATATTCCCTATTAATATTACTTCAATTCTACCGTTAATTTGTTTTAATTTGAAATATAACATCGAATTAGTCAAAATGAAAATGATATATCCTTATTTAAAAAAAGTTTCGCAATCTTTCAATTCAAAAATCTTATTTTTAGTTTATTTCATATAAAAAATTAAAATATTTATTTTTTTAATAATGAAAAAGTCTATTATATTTTATAATATTTAAAACACTAAATATTTGTTTACAATATATTTTAAAAATATAATGAAACACTTGCTCGTTGCTAATATCATACACGGTTTAAAGAAGCAACCAAAATAAAAGAATTTGTTAGTGTATTAATGATTTGGTAACGAATTAAATTAGAGGTGAAATATGTTCCTTAATTTAACTCATAATATATTCGAGTTAATTTATGAGTTTAACGGGTTCAAACTATAATGTGTGTGTGTGAGTGTGTTTTTTAATATCTTATAATCTAATTTATCGCACTTATGTATAAGTGCAGATTTATGAAAAAAAATTAATGAATTAGTCTATCTATTTTAATAATTTTACAAAAATAAAATTCAAATTTAGATGAACTAATTCATTAATCCATGATAAAACCGAATTGAATTATAATTTTTTCTACTAATAACAAAAAGAAACTAAATTAAACTAATAATTTTTTACTCAAGTAGTAACAAGTAAACCGTTTGAGGCCCTAGCTTAAATTATGTGGTAAGATTGGGATATATTATATACAATAAACTAGCGAGGGTGTAGGGGAAAAAAAGGGTGCACCACCCAAATCAACGTAATTTACGCAATAACACATGCAATGGAACTCAACCTTTTCCAAACCTTCTTTTTCATTAGACCCAATTTAACACTTTTGCATGTACTCGAAGAAGGGATGTTGACTATGGATTCATGAACAAGCTGCACCGAAACTTAATCACTAATTAAACCTCCCTCTTTAATTAATCTCTTCAAACATGGTAACTGCAACTGGTAGATACAAAGTCAATTTCGCCATGTTATTGTCCCAACCAAATACACTATTACTGTGAAGCGACTAGCCACCCAAAACAGACAGAGAAATTAGCACCCACTTAAATACATTTTATACTTTCATTTAATAGTATATAATTAAATATAATACAATTATTTATTTTAAAATCATTATTTTAAGACCTAGAATAATTGAGGAATAAGATGAAATAGGAATGAAAAACAAATCTGTTATTGGTAATGTAAATTATTTTATAGTTTTTTTTTAATTCTTTTCAGAAAACTATTTTATAAAATATTTAGATTTATAATTCTCACAAATTTATTAGTCATTATACAAATACTAACCTTATATAATAAGAGATATATAATGTGAATGTGTTTTTCAATATTTTTATTTTTTAATATTTATTTTTTGTTCCTCATGATTTACTGAAAAGAATTTTATGTTCAGATATATAATCCTAAATTTCTTTTATTATCGTAAATTTTTTGTTGTTATTTTATTATGACCTCTGGGAGTTATCATATTATAATTAGAATCAATTAACACCTCTGAAGTGTCAGTGGCCTTCAAATTTTAATCCGAAATAATTTTATTCGACCTTTACGAGTTATCGTGAAGATGAAAAAAGTGCAGTGAATGATGGAACATGAATGTTACGGTGACAGTGTGGAAAAAGGGGAAGAGTGAGTGTGATGAATGGTAATAGATCCCTGACGTGATTCACGCTTCTCTCCACCTTCTTCAATTTCTACTTTCTCCCAAGTAAGCAAATGAGTTCACGGTATAAGGAGGCTCACTTATATCTTCACCCACCATCTCCTCTAACACGTTCGTACACAAATAATCAATCATTCATTTTTTTTTTATAGGTCTCACCTTGTCGAATTATTTCATCTTCTTCATGTAATTTAAGTAATTATTCATCTCTAACAATGTTATTTTAACAAGTATTATTAAATAAATCCCAAAAATCACCTTACGTCTAATAATTTATTCCTTCGTGATGCTTATTTTACTTTGATTAATAATTATTTAAATAAACAGCTGGTTACTAAGAATTTAGGAATTACGTAATTACAATATATATGTTATTTTTATATAAACAAACGAATGTCTATATAAATTTTAAAATATAAATTAATTTTTATTATATGTTAATGAACCAGTGTGATGTTTTATTTTGTCCTGGCAGGAAAAAAAACCATGATTTGAATTTGGCTCACTTTTTTTTTTTTGGATGTATGTATTTCGGGAAGAAAAGAGTGAAAACTTTTGGATCGAACAAGAGTAGGAGAAAACGATTTTTTTTATTAAATACTTTTATTTATCTCACTTATCATTATTTACTTCAGATAATTTGGCTTCAATTAAATATATTTTTGCTTTTATAAGATTTTATATATGTATTTCAGTATTCATAACTTTTTTTGTTGTCTATTACTAATTTTTTTATTCTGCATCATCAATATCAATTTTTTAGAGTGAATAAAAAGAAAAAAAAAACATTTTAAATCTCGTAGATTAATATTAATGGTCATGAAATCAGAAACCAGAAAAAAAATTTAAAAAAATTAGGCTATGCATTGATATTATAAAATAGTTTTATATTGTTGGTCATCGCAAATTATTATATATGATAAATTTAATAAATTTTACAATACTTATTCTTAAAATTATGTTTCAGAATAAAATAAATATTTTATTATAAATTTTATATCTAAATTATTTAAAATTGGAGAAATTTTCTTAAAAAATTATGTATATGAACCGCGTATTCATAATAAAATATAATATTCCTGCAAAATTTGCATTGGAGATGTAATATGAAAGAAAAGAGTGTAGTATCAATGAAAGAGGAAGAAGATGTAATAAAGTGGGAATGGAAATGTGGAATCCTGTGAAACTGAAGTTCAATTATCAGCAGTTGGTTGGTTTAGTATGTCCCAAGTTCCAGGTGAGTGAGTGAGACAGACACACATGCTGGCAAACCAAACCAAGAAAAGAAACCGACCACACCACTCTCTCTCTCTCTCTTACACTGCATGGTGTGGTGGCGTTAAAAACTTTTCTTATTCAGATCGTGGGTCGTTAAACTTGTGCCATTTTCACTTTTCTGCCTCCACCACTTCCTACTCGTCTTATTCTATTATCATTCACCAGAAAAGCAAAAACAAAACAAAGCTTCATCCTCAACTTTTTCTGTAACAAATATCTAAACTTGGACGCAATGTTACTATGATCTATTCTATTATTCTTTGTTTTGAGTGACACTAGTTACTCAAAGGACTGAACTTGGAACTCTGAAGCAGTTACTTGCGTTGAGTAAGCGGCATTGAGATGCCATGTAGCGAAATCTGAAGAGAGCCAAAGAGATCAATGCGAGCGTTGATTTTAGTTTGTTTTACACTTGGGCTGTTCCGTTTCATTGTTGTTACTTATTGATTAGCATTTGTAGTCAAGCTTTCAACTGCGGTTCGCTCACCGTCAGAGGAAGACGAAGGAAAGAAAATAGTTGAAGGTAATTTCATGGAGTCGTGAAACATTAATTTCTACAAGAATATGAGACCGTACGTGTTTGTTGGAAAGAAGAAAAAGAGGGGGCAGTGAAAGGGATGGTCTTGTTTGTTGGGACCAGTGCTCCGTGTATCAGACGAAACGATTCATGGTTTTGTCTTGTTGAACTTCGCTCTCAGGTCTCAGGCATTAAGTGGTTGCCACCATCAAAGTGTTTTTTTATTCTTTAACTACAATTGATTTTGGTGAACGAAGGATAAAAATATTTTTATTTTTATCTCCTCTTCACTTTCCTCGTCTCTCTCTAGATGATGGTTCATCATCCATCTTTGTTATTTTACTTTATTTTTTCATTTTTAATTTATTGAAGAGTTATATAAATCCTAAAGCAACCACAGAGAATCTATTGATGATTAAATAGAATTAGTTAGTAATCTGTTTATGTTGGTCTTTCTAAAGTTAGCTTCTTGTTGCTGTTATTGCCTATTTATTTATGAGCTTAAGTTAATGGGTTGTTGTCTTCTTATTCATGGTTTGCTTCTCAAATTTAAGGGCTTGGTATTTTTGTGAACTGCCAGCTGCTTCTCTATAACTATCTTGCATTTTTTGGAAAGGAATACTGACTTTTATAATTTACCACATCACTTGTTTTCACTTTTAAAAGTGAGAAATGGGAGCAGTCACTGGAGAAGAGTTAGTTAAATGGGAGAAGATGGGAGGTGTGGGAGGCCATGAAGAGAAGATTCTGGTGTTAGTGAGGCTTAGGCCTTTGAATGAGAAGGAAATTGATGTGAACGAAGTAGCAGATTGGGAATGCATCAATGACACTACCATCTTATACCGAAACACCCTTCGGGAAGGTTCCACATTCCCAAGTGCCTACACCTTTGGTAAGCAAACGCGTATCTCTAATGTTGCTATTATATTCCCAATTATGCATCGTCATAAATTGGAATCAAAATCAAACAATTATATGTATGCATTATATTGACCAGAATTGGAATCTTAAAACATGGGTTTGGTTGATAAAGTACTTTACTGGATCTGAGGATCACTGCCCTTTGCCTTGTGTGGAAAAGTTTGAAGTTGTTTTGCTTTGATTTTCTATGGCCGAGTGGTCTTTTATCTAATTTTCCTTTATCCAACTTGTGAAAGTACTTAAGTGAACTGGTGATACAAAAATTTGGTGCTTATATTTTTTTGCTTGTTTGGATGAATCAATTGACATATTTAGCTAAGATGCCAATTCTTTATATTACCTTTCTCTTTAATTTTAAAAATGCTGCACTTTTCTGTCTTCGAAACACATATTGCTTAGTTTTTTGTTATGATTGTGTTTGGAAACTTTGCTGAGGAAGTTTAAGACGTAACGTATGAGAGGTTCATTTATGATGGACAAAATGTTTCATAATTTTTATCATGATTTGGTTGTAGACAGAGTATTTCGGGGTGACTGTTCCACTAAGCAGGTATATGAGGAAGGGGCCAAAGAAATTGCTCTTTCAGTTGTTGGCGGAATCAACTGTAAGCATATAATTTTTTCTCATGGCTCACTTCTCTCATACTCCTTACTTGACTCAAATACCTATTTGTGCATTTCAGCGAGCATCTTTGCCTACGGGCAAACAAGTAGTGGAAAGACATACACGATGATTGGAATAACTGAATATGCTGTAGCAGATATTTTTGACTATATAAGAAAGGTAGTTGGAGACCAAATGTATTGATCTAGCTGTTTAATTCTTCATTGTCATTTTGCACAATAACGCTTGTTTCTAATATTACAAGCTTGCTAATACAAGGTTACCGTGCCCTTTTTAGCATGAAGAAAGAGCATTTGTAGTGAAGTTCTCAGCAATTGAAATTTACAACGAAATTATTAGAGATCTTCTCAGCAGTGAGAACACACCACTAAGGCTCCGTGATGATCCTGAGGTGAATGCGTATATTATTGAATTGAAGAATAAATGACATTGTTTATTTATCTGTTTCTTGATTTTTCAGAGAGGACCTATTGTCGAGAAACTTACAGAAGAGACTCTACGGGACTGGATGCATTTGAAAGAGCTTCTATCATTCTGTGAAGGTAAAACGAAATTTGCACAACTTCTTGATATATATAGGTTGGTTAATAGAATTACATTTCCCACTATATTCTTGCAGCACAGAGACAGGTAGGAGAGACATACCTCAATGACAAGAGTTCTCGATCTCACCAAATTATCAGACTGGTTTGTGTGCCTTCCCCATTCCTGTTTAGAACATTGTGTTCTACATATTGTACGTGTAGACTTTTATTATTAGAATTGTAACCTTGTAGACAATTGAAAGTTCTGCCAGAGAATTCATGGGTAAAAGCAGCTCAACAACCCTAGCTGCTAGTGTGGTATGTTTAAATTTTTAAGTTATCTCTCATTCAACATAAAATGTTTACAAGATTTACTTTTAATTTTGTTTCTTTTCTCTGCAGAATTTTGTTGATTTGGCAGGGAGTGAGCGTGCATCTCAGGCATTGTCAGCTGGGTCCAGATTGAAAGAAGGCTGTCATATAAACCGGAGTTTACTCACTCTTGGAACAGTCATTCGTAAACTTAGGTTGTCCCCTTCTTTCTTAGCCGTTGTTGTCTACCTTATATTCAGCTTCTATGGATGCTTGCGGCTTATTGAATCGTCGATTAATTAACATATCTTTATTGTTTACGACTGCGTGACCTGTCAGGCTTCAAGCTTAACTTCGTATTTTGTATGCAAAAAACTGTTTAGCATATTTATTCATTGTGCCATTGTCAGATTGAAACTATTGATATCATCATAGGCTCATAGCAGTAAGGAGGCTTTCTTTCAGAAAAGATAAGATCAGTACGTGTTAAGATTGAATATGAAATTCTCTCCTAACCTCATTTTCTCTCGGAACTCAAAGAAAAAAAGGGAATTATAACTGTTGAAATGTTATTCCTGATGATGAAGATACAAGAGACTTGTTTTTTTTTTTTTTTTTATAAAGGCTAGGATTTCTAATTACTACTTGTTATTTTTAGTTCCTAATTCTAATAACTAACAAAATTAACCATCAAAATTAATTAAATCTGTCAGACCACTAACTATTAACCTCTTTAATTTTTCAAATTTACAAATGACCTATTACAACTTTCCCTCGCATGAAGACAAGACCTTGTTCGCAAGGTCTGACTATATTGAAATCTACTAGAATTCTAGAAACTTTTCTTTCATTTGCTATAACTCATGCCATGTGGCATCTTCCGGATTTGTGTCTTGCCATTGAATTAAAACTTCTGTGACAGCCCTATTGTTCCTCTTCTTCATTCTTTTGTCAAGTATTGCTAGTGGTTGCATCTCAGGTTCACCATTTTCTGTTAAGTGAGGAAGTGTTGCGGATACTAGTTGATTTCCATGATGCTGTTTCAACAATGAGATGTGAAAAATATTATGGATTTTGGACCCTGCTAGTAGTTCAAGTTTGTAGGCCACTTTGCCAATCCTTTATAATAACCTTGTAAGGACCGTAGTACCTAGCTGCTAACTTATGGTATGAAGAATTTTCTAATGAGTGTTGTTTATATGGTTGGATTTTTAAGTATACCAAATCACCAATGTTATACTCCTTATCAATTCTTTTCATGTCAGCATAAAGCTTCATCCTGTCCTGTGTTTTTGTCAAATTATCATGTAACACTCTAGCTAGGTGTTCTCTTGTCTTCACAGTGTACTCTACAGCTTCAATGAGAGATTCTTCTTGTAATATTGGACAAGGTACTGCTGGATTATATCCATAAAGTGCTTCAAATGGTGTCATCTGAATGGCTGTGTGGAATTTGGTATTATACCAAAGTTTAGCCATTGGTAAGTACCTTGTCCCCTGTTGGGGAAGATCTCTTGTCACATATCTCAAATATCCCTCTAGTGCCTTATTCAATGCCTCTGATTGGCCATCTGTTTGAGGATGGAAGGTTGTTGATCTGAGTAGCTTCACCTTATTTGCTTTCATTAATGTATACCAGAATGTACTGAGGAAAATGGGATCTCTATCAGACACTATTTCTATTGGCAGGAATGTAACTTGACAATGTTGTCTAGGAATATTTTTGCAATTTAGCAGCTCCAAAGGGGTGTTGTAGAGGCAGAAAGTGTGCATATTTTGTGAATCTATCAATGACCACAAATATTACTTTTATTCCATTAGATTTGGGGAGTCCCACTATAAAGTTCGTGGAAATAGATGGTCAAGATTTCTCTGGAATATGCAGTGGTTGAAGTAAGTCAGCAGGTACTTGGTTAGGTGATTTGAATCTTTGACATACTTGACATTCCTGCACCCATTTCTTTATAGTCTTCTGCATGTCTTTCCAATAAAAATTCTCCTTGATCCTTTTGTATGTTTAGTCTGCTCCAGAATGACAACCTATTATTGGATCATGGAATTGATTGAGGATTTTTGCTTTTAGCTTTATATTCTCCCCAACTACCAGTTTGCCTTTTCTTTTTAGCAATTCATTATCAAAACTGTAGTACTTGTAAGGTAGTTGTGTTATCCTGATTCTATCAATAATCTTTCTCAATTTCATATCAGTTTGCCAAGTCATTTTCACCTCTTCTACAAGTTCAGATGTTGCCTGTAGGATGACCTTGAGTTGTCCAAATACTGTCTTCCTGGATATAGCATCAGCTACAACGTTATCCTTGCCTTCTTTTGTAATCTATGCTGAAGTCTAGACCCATTAATTTCTCCGATCCCCACTTCTGCATTAGAGTTGTAGGTGGTTGTTCATTGAGGTGCTTTAGAGCTTTTTGGTCAGTTCGAATAGTGAAATGTTGGCCTAGGAAGTAGTGTTGCCACTTATTTACTGCAAACAGTATTGCATAAAATTCTTTCTCGTATGCAGATAATAATTGAAACCTTTGTCCCATTGCTTTACTGATGTAAGCTATAGGATGCCCTTGTTGCATGAGTACTACTTCAATTCCTAGTGTAGAAGCATCAGTTTCAACAGTAAATGGAAGTGAGAAGTCTAGCATAAATAATACAGGTGTTATGATCAGGGCTTGCTTGAGTGCTAAGAAGGCTGTTTCAGCTTGGTCACTCCATGTAAGTTCTTTGTCTTTTTGAAGCAAGGCAGTTAAGGGAACAGCAATGCAACCATAGTTTTTTATGAATCTCTTGTAGTAGTCAGATAACCCAAGAAATCCTCTTAAATCCTTCACATTCTTAGTGGTAGGCCACTATTGTACTGCTATTATCTTATCCAATTCAGGAGTTACCCCTTGAACTGAAATAACATGGCCTAGATATTGAATCTTCCTCTTATCGAAACTGCATTTTCTATAATTTAACACCAAGTTGTTTGCTTCTAAAACCTATAATGTCTTCTTCAAACAAACCATGTGTTCTTCCCATGTCTTGGTGTAAACCAATATATCATAAAGAAAAAAACAAGAATGAATTTTCTAAGATATTCCCGGAATATGTTATTCATCAAATTTTGAAAGGTAGCTGGGACATTACTTAGCCCAAATGAAAGCACCACCCACTCATAGTGACCACTATGAGTTCTAAAAGCAGTTTTATGAATATCACTTTCGTGCATCCTCTCTTGATTGTAGCCACTCTTTAGATCCAGTTTAAAGTATGCAACACCATTAAGCTCATCCAGTAGATCTTCTATGAGAGGAATAGGAAATTTATTCTTGATTGTCATGGCATTCAATCGCCTAAAATCTGTACAACATCTCCAACTTCCATCCTTCTTTTTAACCAAAACTAAGGGTGATGAGAATGAACTTTCACTTTTCCTTATGAAACCAATCTTCAACATTTCTTTAACCTATCTTTCTATTTCTTCTTTTTGTGCTTTGGGATATCTGTAAGGTTTGAGGCAGATTGGCTTTTCACTGACCAACTCAATCTTGTGGTCATATCTTCTATTAGGTGGTAGTGTTGTAGGTTCTACAAACAATTGTGAATACTCTTGCAATATATCCTCCAATTCAGCTTGTCATTTAGGACAAATTTCCTTTTTAGTATCAGATATGGTGATGGTAAAGCAAAATGGTCCTAGGATAGGTAATAGCATTGTTTACATAGTGATTGTCCTCAACTTTTCAGTTCCATCAATCATTGCAATTTGCTGTGGTTCTCCTTTAAGTAATATTTGTTTGCTAAGATGACTGAATTTCATAGTTAGTTGGGCACAATTCCATGTGATTTCCCCTAATCCTTTGAACCATTGCATGCCAAGTATTACCCCAAATGAAGATCCAGGAAAAACCAAAAATTCTACAGTAAATGAATTATCACCAAATTTCCACTCTACTGCATCACACTTTTTTGTGATCATCACCAGTTTGTCACTAGCAATCATTACTGGGAAGTCCTTGACAGATTGAGACTTGAGACCCGATGTATTTACCCATTTTGCCGATATAAAGTTGTGTACTACCTGTATCCATCAAGAATGGTACATGTTGCTTCTTAATCTAGCCTTATAGTTGCAATGTATTTCCTCCAGGAATACCCCTTAATGCATGCAATGAGATATGGGCATTTGCATCATTAAGCAGGTCTAAGCTCCTTTCAAGGACAGAGTTATCGTTCTCCTTACTGTTGAGATCATCTTCCTCGCCATATTTTACACTTCTGTTTATGACTCCTTTCCCATTTTTCACCACAGAATCTACATAGTCCTCTAGAAATTATGTCACTGACATCTTTTCTAGATATTGTTGATTGATGATTCTCCATCTTTTCTGGTGTGGGTGATGAAGCAGAAGATTGTTGAGGAAGTGATTGTTGCAAACTTGTAATGGGTTGATTTCTAGAATTAGAATATGAATTGGTCCAAGATTTGGAATAACGAATTTGATTGTCATTGGAACTGTTTCCTCCTTGTAACATCTTCTTTTCAAATTCCTTCAAGATTTCTAGTAATTTTGCAAATCTGACAGCTTCATGCAAGTTTCTTGGATTATGCAGGTGAACAGATTTTTCCAATTGTGGTTAAAGACCTGATAGGAAACAACTGAGAGTCATGTTCTCAATGATTGAGACTCTTGCCAAGAGGTTGTCAAATTTCTCCAGAAATTGGCTTAGGGAATCTTGCTGTCTTAACTTGGACATTTCTGCAATTGGATCATCAAACCCTCCATCATCAAATCTGGTTCCAACATCGTCAAGTATTTTTGTCCAAGATTTGTGGTTGAATTTTGGGTTTTTCATGTAATGTCTTTGCCATGCGAAAGTTTTTCCTTCCATAGATAAGAGCAGCAATTTTCCCCTTTGCTGTTTTGGAGTTTCCTCCAATTCAAAAAAATCTCTATAGTTTGTACCATCGAATGAAGGAAATTGAATATGTGTTCGATTCAAAATTGAGTTTTCCTTATGCCCAGAAGTTTCGCTCTCATAATCTAATGGATTTCCATGTGTTTGATGATAACACGACCACCTTTGCAGCGAGTCCTTCGATTGCTTTGGCTAGAGAATCTAGGGTGTTCTGTGTTTGTTCTTGAGAATCAGTGATAAATTTTTCGAAAAAATCGACCTTTATCTCAAATTCTTTATTTGACACCATGATCTTGTTTCCTAGCTTCCTTGATACCACCTGTTAAGATTGAATATGAAATTCTCTCTTAACCTCATTTTCTCTCGGAACTCAGAGAAGAAAGGGAATTATAACTGCTGAAATGTTATTCCTAATAATAATAATACAAGAGAACTTGTTTTTTTTTTTTTTATAAAGGGTAGAATTTCTAACTACCAGTTGTAATTTTTGGTTCCTAATTCTAACAACTAACAAAATTAACCACCAAAATTAATTAAATATGTGAGACCACTAATTACTAACCTCCTTAATTTTTCAAATTTACAATTGGCCTGCCTTTATTACAAGATACTGAGTTCCTTTTATAGGCTTGAATATTAGTTAATTTTAACTTCCCCGGTAAATAGAAATTTGTGTCAAGAAGCAAGACACGTATTTTGTACCTTGTGTTGTGACTAAATTAGAGAGAGCTTCTCACCGAAAAATGTATCTGTATATTCCAAGCTTAAATATTGTAGTTTCTGTTGGCTGACATCATGTGTTTGAATGCAGTAAAGGAAGACAAGGACACATCAATTACAGAGATTCTAAGCTGACACGCATATTGCAGCCTTCCTTAGGTGGAAATTCTAGAACAGCCATCATTTGCACTTTGAGCCCTGCGCGGTGCCATGTTGAGCAAACTAGAAACACCCTTCTTTTTGCTTGTTGTGCAAAAAAAGTGACCACTAAAGCACAGGTTAATGTGGTGATGTCTGATAAGGTATTAGTCAAGCAACTACAAAAAGAGGTAGCCAGATTAGAGAGCGAGTTGAGAACTCCTTGTCCACCTTCAATCAACTGTGATTGTGCAGCAATGTTGAGAAAGAAAAATCTCCGGATAGAAAAGGTCAATTCATACAATATTCGTTTTGTGTTGATTGTTGACATGTCTAGACATGGAACTTCGAAGATATTGATTTCGAACTTTTCGTCTGTTAACCTCTCTTTTCTGGTTAATTTGCCTTGTCTATTCGTTTCATCGATTTTGGGTCTAGATTCCATATACATCTTTCTCCCTTGTGAATGTTACATTTTTGTTACTCCTCTGATGGTGAAAACGTGGGTTTCAAACTTTCAATTATTCAGATGGAGGGGGAGATTCGGGAGCTAATTAAGCAACGTGATCTTGCTCAATCTCAAGTTGAGGATTTGCTGCGCATGGTTGGAAATGATCAGGGAGCTACGAAAGTAATTTCAATCGTCTAATTAGTAAACTGATATAAGAAATTAGGCCTCTGAATTTGGTTTCTTCTCTGGTTATTGTTCAGACTGGCAGTCTGGCATTAATAATTGTTTTAATACGTAGGAAAGGATGGACGCCTGGGAAGATGATGATTCTATATCAGAGTCATCAAGCATTTATCCTTCTGATTTACGCATTAGAGAATTCAACAATCCTCACTACAACAATGAAACCAGTGAAAGTAGTCCTGATAGTAAGTTGTTTCTTCCCTTTGTCAATAGGAAGTTTTCTAATAGAATGGTTAATACCATTCAAGAGGAGAACCGAACCATATGTAGTCATTTGCTAACTTTTGTTTTTACAGAACATCCTGATGAATACTGCAATGAAATTCAAAGTGTTGGATTGGAGGAATCAAGTAAAGATGACTTGGAATATCCTGATCCATCAGTAAGTGACAATGGGGTGTTGGCATTAACATGGTATGGAGAGGAAAATGTAACAAGTAAGGAGATACCGACTCCTTTGAGTGAAGATAGGGAAGAGAGAGAGAACCAAGAAAATGCAACATATGGTGTTCTGGAGCAGAGACTGGATGATGCACAGTTGAGTAACGATTCTCCTCAGTCTATCTCAGGAACGGTGTCAAATAGTAGGAATCTTCAATTAACAAGGAGCTGGAGTTGTAGGGAATTCTACACGTCTGGTTCTCCAGGGAATGTGGAAGAAATGGGGAGGACTCCGGCCGGTAATTTTGGAAAATACTTCCCTGGAAGACCCGATGGATTGCCAAGAAAGTTCCTTCCATTAACTTATGGTGCTTCCACAAAATTGTCAATGAATGGCTCTTTGCCTTCTATTGGAAGTCCCTCTATGGATGAGCTAAGAAACAACAGCTCAAGAACATTCAGTAATGAGGATATTACTAGCCTCCAAACTTTTGTTGCTGGGATGAAGGAAATGGTCAAACTTGAGTATGAGAAGCAGATTGTTGACGATGATCAGGTGCAAATGAGTCATTTTTCAATCCTTTCTTATTTCTCAAAATTTAAGCAAAAGAGTTTATAGTATCTAATAATTCTGGTTTCTGAATTGTAGGATCAGAAGGCAGAGACAACATCTTTCAGATTTGAAAAGAATATGAAAGATGTAGGTGTGGATTCAACGTTAGAGGCACCTGGATCTCCTGTGGAATGGGCTCTACGATTCAAGCAGCAGCAGAGAGAAATATTGGAACTGTGGGAAGCCTGCAATGTATCATTGTTCCACCGGACTTACTTCTTTCTTTTGTTCAGGGGTGATCCAACAGACTCTATTTACATGGAGGTGGAGCTTAGAAGATTATCTTTCCTCAAAGGAACATTTTTTGGTGGAAATCAGTCGATGAACGATGCTCCCATAGTGACATTAGCTTCAAGGTTCTGTGGGCATCTAATATAATCTTACTGTGATCATTGCTTAATGTTGACATTGACTGACATACATGTCTTTGTTTGGGGAAACAGCGCAAAGGGTGTTAGGGGGGAGAGAGAGATGCTGGTGAAGCTTATGCAGAGAAGGCTATCAGAGGAAGAGCGGAGGAAGCTTTTCAGCAAGTGGGGCATTGCATTGGATTCAAAGCGCAGGAGGAAGCAGCTGGCGAATCGCATATGGAGCAACACAGACATGAAGCATGTCATGGAGAGTGCTGCGCTTGTTGCAAAGCTAGTGAGGTTTAGTGGGCAAGGTAATGCCTTGAAGGAGATGTTTGGCCTTAGCTTCTCACCACATCGAATCTCATATTCCAGGAGAAGTAGCATGGCCTCTCTGTTTTAGGCCTCCCTCTCACAATCTATGTACTCCCAATTTAATTATTATCTATTATGAATGCAAATGGATGGAACCACCGTAAGTAGTATATCTGATACTACCAAAACCCTCCACGGTGTAACTCATTTTAATCTCTATATATGTAATGATAATTCTTGAGATTAACGAATTCTTATTTATTTTAGATCAAATCAATATAATTAAGTGAATAAATTATATTTTTCTTTCATGGGAGATAGTATTGTTTTCTGGTGCAGGTGATTATTAACACGATTAGTAACTACTCTATCAACTTGTCACCTTAAGCTTCCGTTTGATTCTGGAGACAAATTGTTGGAAGGGAGATAAATGCATGTAAAGTTTATTTGTTGAGATACAATGTATATAAATTTTAACAGACTATTCTTTCTTTTTCTTATATGCAAAGAAAATAGTAGATAAGACAAGATTTACATAACATAATCGATGTAAAGGTTTTTTTTTCTCTTAATCCAAATAATATATGAGAGATGAAATAGAGGGATGATATTTTGACACCATTCAACTCACTTTTATTAATATAATAATTATTAAAAGATTTAATAAAAAAAAGGTAAAATTATAATATAAAATAGAGTTGGTTGTGTGAATAGTGGTCTCAAAAAAATAGGTTTTTTTTATGAAATAATAAATGTATCTTAAATTTCATCTAGATATTAAAAGGGATAAATTTTAAAGCATTAAAATTATTTAGCATTCATTTTAAAGAAGGTTGCTTATGTTGAAAAGGATCAAAATATGATTTACATTTGTTTATAGGAGAATAGTGTATATTTTAAAACAAAAATAGGAAAGTATAATTTGACTGATTTATGGAAATTGGACCAACCATAAAAATGAAGATGGAAAGGCCAGAATGAAAACGAGAGAAGGCCCAATGTAGGTATGTATGGTCTGGTCCAACTACGATACGACGTCGTGTAACGATTGACGTTGTTTACCATTTTCCCCATACTCAGTGGGAAGAAGCGCATTGAAAGAGCACAGAGAAGAGAAGAGAAAGACGAATCATGGCATCGACGGCAGCGTACCTTGCTCGGCGCGCGGCGCAGAAGGAGAGGGTTCGGATCCTGTACCGCCGCGCCCTCAAAGACACTCTCAATTGGGCCGTACATCGCCACCTCTTCTACAACGACGTATATTCATTCATTCCTTTCCCATTTTCCTCACTTTTTACTTCTAATCTCATTTTTTCTCTGATTCATTTTTTCTTTCCCTTTCTTCAGGCTTCAAACCTCCGCGATAGGTTCGAGGAAAACAAACACGTGGTTCGTTTTCCCCTTCTTTTCACTTCCATTTCACCCGCAATCCCTCCTTTCCATGAATTCTATAATTGTACTTCCTCTTAGCACTCACAGGCCATATTTTCTTTGTGTATTGGTAGGATTGTGTAACATATTTTCGATCCACACATACCCTGATTCATTGCCACTTGCATTTTGAACTACTATCTTGTGATTAGGGATTTGTGTAACTGCTTAATCCTTGCATTCGATTTCTCACCTGTTGTCTTATGTTATTAACAGTGCTTTGTATTGGTTTGATGTCATGTACAGGAAGATCCTGATACAATTGATAGGCTCATAGCGGATGCTGAAGCCTCATACAACAAGTGGCGTCATCCAGATCCTTACATAGGTGAACATGTTACTCATCTCCTCTTTTTACAAACATTGTGACTTTCTTGCATTCTCGATTGCAAATTATAACATATCACATCCACGACAGAATATTATTACCGTGGATGTTTTCCTATTTCTTAATGTTTCCAATGATGGGTAAATAGATATAGTTAAGAATATTATGTTGATGTCTATAATTGTAAATAATTCTAAACGCGATTAATTTAAACATAACTTAACGATTGAAAATATCTCCATTTTTTATGGTGAGGGAACTTTAAAAGAGTGCTGATGGGAGTTGAGATAGAGGGGACTGCCCGTCATAAGATTATTAGCTATATTCATAGTGATTAGTATCTTTGCTTGTCACTGCAATCAAACTGTTACACTTACCAGGAAGAAAAAAAAAAGACGTTATTTTGAATGATTAATTAACCTAAGCTACAATATGCAATGGAGCACAGGCACAGGGGCAGGTATTGCCCATATTTTAGTTTTTCTAGTGTTGGGTAGTAAATTATCTGCACATTTTACTCCATTCGTTGGTACTTCTCTTTACTGTTTTTGTTATTTAGTCCACTTCAGATATTGACCCATTTTACTCCTATTTTCTGATGTATAATAGTTCCTTGGGCTCCGGGTGGTTCCAAGTTTACTCGCAACCCAGCTCCACCTCAAGGGGTAAGTTGTGATGGTTATACCATATGTTTATGTTTTCCATTATTTTTTTGGACCCACTTATTTATTTGCTACTTTGGTGGATATCACTGAAATTCTTCTCCCATCTTCGATTAATACTTTTAAAACAGATTTTATGTATGTATTTATGTGTGGTGGAATTCAGGACAAGTTCATTTGATGAGAGATATACACAATGTTTGGTGCAAGAGGCCTAAAATACATGCATAAGGCCCTGCACTTTTCTTTTTTCATGGGACATTGTGTCTATACCTCTCAATACAGTCATCAGATGGTTAGTTCATCTGACCTGTTGTGTGAGGATATCACACAAAATGTTTGAAATCTGTATGTGTGTGTTTAGTCACTATATACACTTAGTGGTCTTTTTGTTTGAAAAATAAACGTTGAGTAATTTGGTCTGCTCATAGTTCGGAATAAGTATATATCATCTCTGCATTATCTATTAAAAATGTGTGTGATCGTTTTAGAAGTTATCAGTGCATTGCCCTCCCCTCCCATATTTCTGCTATGATTACAATTGGTGGATTAGTAATTTTCATTTTTAAACAAGTGATGGAATGTGATGTTGAAGACTGGACAACTGAGATATCAGTTGGTCGTAATAATCATATTGTGAAGATGAAAAATCCATATGGCCAGCTTCAGTAGTTAGGCTTTTGAAATAATTAATCCTATCATTCTATAATCCACTATTGGATATTCACTCCCCCTGTGCAAGAATAGCAAGGTCTTTGAAATATCGGTGAAGTGGTATGCTGTTTTCCACTGTCCGAGATAGGGGTATATGCTTAAAATGTGATGAGTGATAGGTGGAGGAAGTTCTCCGTTTGTGAGTAGAGGCTACCCTTCCTGTACTGTATGCTTTCTTTTTCATGTTCCCCGTTCGTTTTCTTCTGCATGAGATTCCCAACGTTGTTCCCATTTGATGATTTGGTGTTTGTTTCCCCGCAGATTGAGATCGTCTATAATTATGGCCGTGAAGATAATGACTGAAATTTGAATTTTTTTGTCACCCTTGCAATGAATAAAGGTCTCTGCAATCGAACTGTTCTGTGTTTTTGGATTGTAGATTAAATCACCTTAATTTACCATTATGTGTTGAGCGTAATTTGATAATGATTGAGTCTGTCCATGCATATGATGTTGAAAAATTTGACCACCTCCGAACCAGATGGTACTTGCTTGGATCATTGAATGTTTTGAGATTGTCATTGATTCTTGTCAGTGGAGTTTTAGAGTATTCTATAAACAGAACTAGTTGCATAAGTCATCTGTCAAATTCTGACTTTTGGCCTATTACCGGTTTTACCGTAACCATGTTATAAATGTTGAGCAGCACTACCAATGGTTAATGAAAGCTAGTTTACTACCTACGAGAGCTGGGAACAATATTTTCATTGAAAGTTTTTATTATTATTGAAAAACGAACACTAGGGTTGCAACTGCAGTATCCCATAATGTATGGGGAAATTGGTTGAATAATAAAAACTGACACCGTAGCAAGTAGCAAGTACAGTATCTCGTACGAGTAAAACAAGGAAGTACAGTATCTCGTATTCATCATAGAATTGATATTCTACTAGGATCCGTGCTCTATCGAGTCGTCTTGACAAAACTGGTGGGAGTGTTATTGGTCTGTATTGGTTGTCGAATCAGGGACGGTATGGCATTTGACTATAGCCTAATCCATTAACTATTATACACAGATAAATACACCGCCAACGATTCGATGTTCTAATTCGTACTTCTATTTCAAATTTCACATTTAAGATGTTTTATTTTATTTTTTCATTTCCCTTTCTGTATTATTTTCAACGAACCATGTAGGGTATATTAGTATTGGGTCTAGTTTGGGTAGGATCATGTTTAAGCCTTTGTTTGGATTTATAGTATTACTTTGTTTAAGCTTTGTTTGGATTTATAGTATTACTGTTTATAAAGAAATGTGAGTGATTTGAAGAGAAAGTTTATGTTTGGATTAAGTAATGTGTGCTGATTTATGAAGAAAGTTTGTGATATCTAAATACTTTTTTTTTTCTTTTTGTACGATTTTATCATAAAAATCATTTTATACGATAAGAAATCCGAAAAAAAGTTATTTACATTATATTTGTTATTCATTATTATCCTTAAATATATTATTTTATTTTATAATTTTTTATTTGTAATCTAGAATATTATATAATATATAATCTTATTTTTTATTATGTGTTATTTTTAGTTATTTATATTCAGTTTTATTTTTATTTAATCTGTATTTTGAATTAACTTATATAACCATGTAATTATGTTTTGAATTTACAAATAAAATACTTGAATTATAAAATTTTGAACACATCTAATCGATTAAATAAATTTGTATAATCGAATTATATAAGTAATAGTTTATATTAAAAAATATTATTATATTTATTATATATAATTATAATTATACATGATTTTATATTTTTTTATTATAATAAAATCAAAATTATATCTAAATATAAATTTAATTTTTTAAGATGTAAGTGATTTTATTTTTTAATTAGTACTTGAAATAAAAAATTATATATGATTTGTAATTAAAAATTAAAATTATTTTTATATTTTATATATAAAATATTTTAATATATCTCACAATTTTGCGAAGAATATAAATCAATTAAATTAAATTATATTTATATTTATTCTATTTCTATCAAATTTAAAATATTATTTTAATTTTTTTATTCAATCACATAAATCTCATCTTTTATCATCTTTCCACTCACTTATATTTGTTTTCTATTTTCTTTTCCTCAATTCAAATAATCCTTCCTTATTTAAAAATATCTTCAAATAAAAAAAATATGTCCTAATTCATATCCAAAATTCTATCTTATGTCTCATGTATTATATTAACAAAATTAGTTGCATAACAATTAAGAGAACCAATATCTAAGCTATTTGAAATATATTTAGTTATAATAATATTATATAATGCAACAAAGATCAAGGAACTCCTACGATTAGATCAAAAAAGTTTTTATATTAACTTTACTAAGACTCATTCAACTCTTTCATTCTTATAATTCATTTATGACACTTTATTTCTTTATTTTACTTAATAATTTGAGCGTTGAATCTCTTCACTATTATTCATAACTTGACTACCCAGACATCCCATCCCACTTCATTAATGAAGATGGTAAGAAAAAACGTTCAAATTTGGGTAACAATAAGTTATAGTAGGAGGAAGCATATATATTAAAAAGGTAAAACTAATTCTTTTTATTATACACATTATATGTTGGATTGACGAAATAATATATTCTTACTGTTGGCTGATTACCATTTCAACATTGGTAAACATTGTCCCAAGTAACTGATGTTGGTACAGTGAAATAAGCACCTCGGGTTAGGGTTAGTATAAATAACCAATTGATTCATTATTTGAATCTATTGTTATTATTTGAAGTATAAAACAATTTGTTTCGAAAAGAAATTTTTCAATCTTGTATGCGTTCAAAAAATACAACAGTATTAATCCATTATAATGAATAGTTTCTATAAATAACATGATTAAATAAACTGAATTAAAATTGGAGTAGACTGAAATTTGGAGAAGTCATGTGTGTAAGATATATTGCTCACTAATTTCCTTTGAATTAACCTACATCTTCCTCAGTTGGCTCCTCCTAAAAAAAAGGAAAAAAAAAAAATTGCATACCAGAGTTATAGACTTTGCTTCCGTCTATAACATAATTTATACGCGTGCATCCAAGCAGAATTTATATTGTTCAGAGAAACACTGTAAGTCTGACCTTTGTGTTCATCTATGCCTAGACAGAATTCTTAACAACATGGCCTTGCAGCTAAGGATAACTAGGACGAGGAAGATGTCCCCTAACACCACTTCTACAGGTGCTCGTGCAATTGTGGCTCTCACTGCTATGGCCTTGCTGTTATGTACCATCCACTGTGGATATCAAACCACAACTGCACTCCCAAGACACCCTCTACATGGCCAATGGATTTCGTGGGTAGGAGCACTGATTATGATTTCAGGTTTTATGCTTCTGGCTCTGGGGGTTCCATAGTTGCTGACTTGTTTCTTAGGTTGTTAGAGGAGCTACAATACCGTAAGGAAACTGATATTCATCAGAATAGCAAACTGAATTTAAAAGATGACCAGTTTTGTTACAATTGAATGTCATTCTCCTGGAATAACGACAACTCTGCTTGCAGCAGGTATGTTCTCTATTTGGGCCTTGTTGGATTAAATATTTTTTATGGAAGCAGTAGATGTATGCAGATCAGACTTCACTGCTTACACAGAAAAATGTCCACCCATTATTTTTAACCTTCTATAAACAAAGATGTTACTTAGTTCTCCTATTCTTCACCAAGAATTACCTTCTAGGAATGGTTGGTGTAACGTGAAGTATCAAGAATTTGGCCAACTACAGAGGCTTTAGGAAGAAAAGACGGTGAAGTATCAAGAATTGGCCAACTACAGAGGCTTTAGGAAGAAAAGACATTGCTTACGACTTTTAAAATTTTATTGGGGTGGCATCAGATACTGCATTTTCTGCTGGAAAAACCTATATATTAAAATGTTTGATTATAACAACGTTTTCACTGTTTCAGTTTCTTAATGATAGTCTTTGAAATTATTTGTGAAAACAGAGTGAAGTATCAATAAAATGATGAACTAAATTTCTTCTTTTAAATAAAGATCACAATATCCTGGCTTTTGTGGGTTATTTACACCAAATTAATAATAAGCAAACCCTGCTATAAACATATTCACAATTACAAAATCCTGGATCAGATTGTTCTTATTTCTTACTGTCTACAAACATATACACACAATGAACAACAAGAAATGCTACTGGACCTAAAACACTAATCAACTGGGTTGTTGATTCATAATTTATGATAAAATGCGGTCCAACTTTGGTTCAGTCAGTCTCATATGTTCAAAAACAGGAAAGAAATCACTTATTTGGAATAAAACTGGACAGGAAACTCAAATGGTTGTGCTAAAAAATGAACCTTCAATTCAACAGCACTAAATGAATGTGTCGTTCCTCTTCTCTGAAGGCTGAGCAAAGGTGTGAATGACAATTTATCACATAACACACATGAGCTAATAGCTTAGTTAATAAATTTGTTAAGTGTGACAGCATTTTCAAGTTAGCTATCGTCCTTTTTATACAAAAGGGACTATGGAGTTTTGTGTACCGTTTATATTCTATAATAGTCAGGAGGTCAATGCAGTAATCACAAAATAATTGACTAAGTATTATTACAAATAAACCTAACAATTAGTAAAGAGCAGTTTACACACAGGATTTGTGTGTTCATTATTTATTCTTCTCACCCTCAATAAAGAAGACCCCCACGCCTCTCCCACACACATATATAAACCTATTCCTGTCATACAATTGATTTTATATGAAAGGAAGAGTATTAAAACTTACTCCACATCCACTTCTTCCATAAAAGACTCCCCATAACCAAGTAAACTGGCTATGCATTCTAATATCTCAGTAAAAGCTTCAACTCAGAAATTAACCATTTCAGCTCAAAAGTAACCAAATCCAAAAAGACTTCCCCACAATCTTCGGGCAATATCTACATCTATAAATCAATTGTCCATGACACTGTCATCTGTCGGAGTACATCCAGCTGCCATGCATAATTAAGATGCATGACAACTATCCAAGAATACGAATTGAGATAAGTTCCGAGAATATGTTGTTATGGATTGAGAGAAGTTACGAAAATATGTTGTCTGCTGAATTAAGTTTAGTTTGTGAGGGATTTTTAACTTTAAAAATCTATTCAAGCAAACAAAAAAGAAAAATAGTATTGGATAGAAAATGTAGTGAAAGTACATATATGAGTTGGAAACCCTAGAATGAAATGGAATGGAAAGTATAATGAATGAGCATCAGATGAGCTTGAAAGGAAGAGGCCAAGGAGTAGACCTGGGAACTTCCACCTTGTCCTTGATGCGCTCTATCATTTTCTCCTTCTTTGGCCGAGCGTTACCGTACGATCCCTTGAATCTCTTACCTTTCTTCGTCTTCTTGTCCCCGCGCCCACAAAATAGGGGCACCGCCGCCACCTCCGCCTTCTCCGCCGTCATGAACAACCGCGCAGCCACGCTGCACCGCTGCATCACGCTCACACCACTCGTAGCCATACTACCTCTTTCTCTCGCGTACTGGTTTTCCAACACCACCACATGGAATGTAATTTCATGTGGGCCGGATTAGGTTTGAACCTTATCAGATATTGGACCCTTTGGGCCTTACCCAACTTCATTCTTAACCGCTTCTATAACTATTATCAGTAATTCTTTATACTTTTTATTCTCATGATTTACCTAGTTAGTTTCTTTTTTGTCATGTTTACATAAAATATTTGTATTAAGTATCAGTTTTATTAGTTTAAGTAAATTTTAGAAATATAATAAAAAATACTTTAAAACATAAGAGAAAAATATAATTAAATCAAAATTGATATCTTTTTAAAGTAGTTATTATTTATTAAATTAACAAAAGTTATAATTCGACAATAATGTTAAAATAATGTAGATTACATGTAATAAAACCATTCTAATATATAAATTAAAAATATAATTTGAAAGAATTATGTGAAAATATAAATTAAAAATAATTAGGGATGTAATTAGATTACGATTAGTCTAACTTTCAAACTATCCCAATTAAAATTTATTTAATTGAGTTGAGTTTTATTTTTATTTATTTAAGAACCAAATCAGATTCAACCCAATTATAATTGGGTTGTGTTATCGAGTTGAATAATTAAAAATATATGGTAACTTTTTAACTCTTTAAAAAAATCTCTTAATTAATATTTTTAATATTTATGAGATAGAAACAGTACTTAAAATATAAATATCAAAAATAAATTTTAAATATCAAAAAAATATCCATAAATTTATCTTACAACTCCATAAGAAATTATGTTGAAATATTATTTATATAATAATATTGATATAATAAACTATAAACTTATCTTTATCTAGTAAGAGACAAATTGAAAATATTTTTATCTATCTACTCTAAATAAAAGAGATACTTGTAAAACATTCTCATCCGATTTTATAACGCTGGTTTAATGATAAAAATTGGAAAGAAATTGAAGAAGATGTAAGATAGATTTAGAGTTTTATTTAATTATCTTTTCGTACAGCTAAATTAAAAGGTTACAATATATTACTAACATTCTATGTGACATCCAGCCACAATGAACGTGACATTTTTACTAAGATTATAATGAAGAACATAGAAACTAATAACTTTTTACTACTCTATCCACTACTTATTAAAACTAGTACACAACACTGTAAGTAAGTATCTTTATTGATTAATATAAGTGGTATGTCCCTGATATTTGAATGGAATATTCTCATCTTTCCTTTAACTTTTAGTTACCAAAGGCCACTCCAATACTTAGCTTTGTTGTTTATTTGATTCATATAAGGCCATCTAAGTAAAGTACAATCTTATACTTTGATTTTATATCACTCAACCCCTTAGGGAATACTTCTTCCCAATGAAAGGCTGAAATTTTGGTTGCTTCTGATGGGGTGGCTCTTGTTTGGGCTCGATCTTTTCCTACAATAAATAAGACGACAACCATGTTAGTTGAGATAATTCTTATCTGAAGGGGCAATGCATTGAAGAGAAGCAGTGGAATTACCTTTCCTGTTTGTTTTGTACGGTAAAAGTTTGATCCAAAAACTAGCTTTCCCTCGTATGGACGAGTAAAATTTGATGAAGTAGATGTCGTGGAAGACTGTGCGTTCAAACCTGGAACTTCAGCTCCTTTCTCTTCATGCCATGATGAATAAATGGGAGGATTTGGTTTTCCATCCAAGCGTCTTCCAGTCCCAAAAAATTGATTGAATTTGCCTGTGGAGAGACTAATTAAGAAATAGCTTAGATCATATGCAAAAAGAGAATAATTAAGAACATGAATATGCACCTTTATCTTGTGTTTTGCCTCCAGTAATAGGCTTTCCAAAATCCTTGTAGTCCAAGGAAGGAGCAAAGTCCACCTCACAGTCTGTGTCGATGATGCTGATAGCATTAGCAGGCTTTGTTTCTACAACATCTAAGTAATACCTTTTGTTGTTGTACGTCACCATGATAGTATCTCCAGTAGTCAAGCACGAAAATTTTCTCAAAGTGGTCTCTAAGCTGCATTGTAAACTATGATCAAAGTCTTGAAGGATATCTATGTACCAACTAATGAAAACAAAACACACTAAAAAATCTACAAATGTAGGACGAATGCCTAATAAATATGTACAAAAATGGAAATAATCACAAAAGTATAGAACAAATTGAAGTACCTGCTCTCACTTGAGAATTGAGACTATTTCATTATCAAAATAAGTCTATTTTACATTAACCAAACATCTAACCATGCCAATAGATTGAACAATACACTGATGAAGGGAAAAACTACGTAACCTTATACCCTATGTTTGAAGATCAATCACATATTTAACTCTTAAAACCCTCGACCATATTTGTTGTTTACCATATATCTAGACAAATACTAAGTACACATAACACGAGTGAAGAGCAAGCATGCCCTTTGGGTTCTATTGAAACTCGATAGTCATAAGCCCTTAACTGAATTGACATTATACTACAGGGTTATGCTCTTGAAGAAATGTTGAATTTATAATGTTCAATAAACAGTAAGTCTATTTCTTGTTTGCTTCTAGTATAATACAATCACGACAACTCACATAGCTTTTGGATTGGAAATATCAAAAAAATCCTTTGTGTGGGGTTGTAATTTAACATATGTTCCCTTTGGAAGTGATGCATATTTCACTCTTACGGTATCTCCCTCTTCCAAAAGCATATTCTGCATCATCTGTATAGAACATATCATTAAAAACTAGCATGAGTTACGCGGAAATTTGGAGAACCATTCAACTTGTAACAAGCATAATCACAAATTTTCAGTTAGACTATGGTCCCACCCAGTATGGCATATATATAGCTCCTTCATCAGCAATGAACTCCAGAACCCCACAATGAGAAACCCGCTCAGAAGCACCATTTCTGAGTTCGAACATCATAGGATAATCAATCCGTAGAAATGCTGCAAGATTACACTCGACATCAGTATTGTCGTTTGTCAGTTGGACATGAACATCAATGGAAGAACATGCAACAATTATAAGTTCGGACTTGAAAAACTAACCTAAATGATCAAGGGCTGAAGGAGGCATTATAACTGAAGCAACAACAATCACGACATATTTAGTTCATTAAATAAGTAACAAAGGGTAATGTAATATTAAACCAAAACATGGCTAGATGTGGAAACTTACTTCTATCACCATTTTCAATTTGGGGCTGCAGAATTCATGAAGAAAAGAACTAATTGTTAGAATAATTTCCATAAGATACATTTGAAATTATTGTTTTTACTCATTTGAAGTGCATTCGCTTCACATCTAGAGTTTAAAGTAATTGGATCCCCTTGTCTCTTTTATCAAATATTTAATTACTCTCTTTTTTTCTGTAAATTTTACTTTTTAGTAATTCTACCTAAAAATTTTATTTTAGTAATTCTACATATAACTTAATATTTTTACTCTCTCTGTATAAATACTCTTTTTTTATATATAATTTCTATCTTCTAACTCATAGGAAAAAGATTGAAAATGGTATAGATCAGAATTCAAAGAAACAAGTATTAAGTATAAAAATCAAAAGATAAAATTTTTATACTTATAGGATTAAATGAGTACTTAAACAACCTTTGTCAAAATTTTATCTTTCAAACTTTGGCCTTCTACTGTTCCTACTCGCATAAAATCCTTTTTATTTCAATAGGATATTGGTATTTAAGCAAACGTAATGAAGAGGGAAATATTTTAAACTTTTCACTGAGAAGTGAACAGAGGTTTATAATTGATAGTATGTGTTAGGATTTCATTTTAAAACTCTCGTGTTTAAAAATCATCCATTTCAGTTAATTTTAATTGTCTTCCAAACACACTTTGAGTGTATTAGTACAATTGTCAACACAAACTTGCTTTCGCAGTACAGAATGTATGATGCAGAACAAAGGTGAGTATGCAAACTTTCGGAAGCACATGAGATCTGCACTTTGTAAAATCTTTTTCCTACTATGTCTCTTTTCAAATGAAGTGATTTATGTGTTATATTAAATAACACGTATTTAAGTTTCTCAAATGAATATAAAATAATTAATAATATTTTATTACATTTCATTGAAACATGGAGCAAATGATAATTCAATATCACACTTAATATTTTTCCATCATCACATTCACTCGTGAAACGGGGAAGATTGAGCTAAGGTTTATAACCATGTATATTCTTCTCATTCCCTAACCTCAACTAAACTAAAAAAAAAAAGATGAACTCGTAAGATTTTCATGCGTGGCAAAAGTTATATATGCTAGAAGCGTGTAATAGACTTTTGAAACTCAACATACCCAGGCAAATCTTTGGATAAATTCACAAACTAATCCATGCACGTGGAAGTTTTAGTTTATCGTAATAATAAACCCGTTAGTAATATATATAAGATTGGAGATTAGCATTAATAAACATTAATGAATAGAAGTGATAACGTAATTAAGGAATGGTGACCTTTTCAATAAATGAAGCAGAGTAGCATCGATATGTCTGTTCAAATGATGTCCCGTGATACCCATATCCGTCAAAAAACTGCATCATGATACTATAGAATTTCACTTGCTATGTAAACTAGAGAGTTAAAACGGGTTAAAGCATGGTTATTAGTTAAACTGTCAAAAAAAAAACATTTTCTAACATGTAGACGCCAAAATGGATTAAAGAATACTTGAAAAATGATGATGTAGAGCATACCATTTTCTTTCTTCCTCTCCCACGTATCAAGGAGTTGAAGATATATATATATATATATATATATATATAGAGAGAGAGAGAGAGAGAGAGGAAACTTGAAAGAATACGAAATTCAATGGGTGGAAACTTGAAAGTAGGAGGGAGCTTGCAGATGTAGAAAACTAGAAAAACTTATATTTATTTTTGCGGTTGAAGGTCATCGACATGAGATAAGATAACCATGTGCTTGATGTCTTGGTGTATGAGTTTAGATGACTACACTTTCTATATGGTATAAGTTCTTGGATAGCGTCGTGTGTATACAGCTTCACAACTACGCAGGATCAAGGGTGGAATCGGGTCTCCCATTATCTTCTTCTTCTCCCTAGAAAATTGTATTCCAAAATTCCATTTTCAAAAAGTATTTCGAGCGAATTTTGCATGGGAAAAATATAGTCATAAATTATTTTATTTACCGTGAAATAAATAAGATAAATTATTATTTATAAATAAAATTTAAAATAATAAATATTTTCAAAGAAATATTTTCATTTAACTATTCTAATTAATATATTTATAGAGGGAGTTTTTATATAAAATGTTAGGAATCTGTTTTTAGCATTTTTATTCATCCAAATATTCGGTCCATGGACATCTAAAAAGGCAAAATGAAATGTTACACCTTAATTATAAGATCAACTATGAAGTATTCAAAAACGCCTGCTAAAATGGCTCTAATGAGAATATTATATGTACGATTGCTTCAACAAAAGGAAGCGAAGTTAATAAATTTGCATATAATAATAATAATAATAAAATAAAAATAGACTTTGGACTTATCTCTTGTACACATTAATAATATTTATATACTGCTCATAAAAATAAAAATATGGTGTTTTATAAAAGTATGTAAACTTCAAGCCTTTTCTAGATTAATTGTGGAAGTCATAGTAAATCAAATAAAAATTTTATTATGATGTTTTTTTTCTATAAAAACATTCTTCTTATTCACACGGATTTCTTATTCCTTTATTTTTTTATGTAGTAAAAAATACTTTATCATTTTTCACTTACAGTCACTGAATATTATAGACTTATTCACGGTTGAAGTAAAATTGTGTCTGTAATCTAATTTTAAGGGTTTTTTTTTTAATGAGTTTTGACCAATATCCATCATTATACTTATTAAATAATTTAATTCTTATATTTTAATATAGGATAATAACTCTTAATTATAAAGAAGATTTTTAAAATTACAAGATGTCTACTCCTTAAACCTAGCAAGTAAATCAGACCCCTGTGAGAGACTTAACATGTAAAATGAAGGATACTCACTTGTAGGCATGGAAACGGGGCGGGGCGGGGACGAGTTTTGACTCCCGATTCCTGCATCCGACTTTTTCAATCATCCCCGTCCTCGGTCCCGATTCGGTCGGAATTAGAAATTAAATTTTCATTCCCTCTTCATTGGATTTCGGGTTTTCCGCCCCTATCTCATCTCCGATCTATATTATTTTTAAAAAGATAATTACATTTATAATAAATTAATTTTATTATCTATTTTTTATATATAAATAAATATTTATAATTTATAATTATTATTAATTAAATATACATTTTAATTTATTATATTTATATTAAAATGTATGTAAAAGAAATATTTTATCATTTTTTATTTATAACATTATTATTATTATTATAACATCTGTATTCAAATATTTAAATACTTATAACATTATTATTATAATAATGTATTCAAATATTTGATATATATATATATATATATAAGTTAATTCATTTTAAGTTGTCATTTAAAAATATGAAATATATAGTTTATAAGGAAATATTTAATAAATTAATTATTATTCAATTAGTGCAAAGTAATAAAAGTTTAAATTATCAATTCCTTTAATCCTTTAAAATATAATTATTTTATTAAGATAAAATTTGATATATGATAAATAAGAATAATAAGATAAAAAATGACATAATAAAACCTAATAAATATAAATTATAAATAAAATAATATTAGTTACTACTAAGATTTATGTAAAATATTTAGAAAAAGATAAAGAATAAAAAAATTAACTTTGTGTTCATCAAATTGATTGAAAAGATTGAAAAAAAAATTGATGGGAAAGATTAAGGAAATGTGAAAAACTCGAAAGGAAAAAGAGAGAATAATATAATAAATTAATTGATATAAAAGATTAAAAAAGACAAAAAAATAAAAAAATTGGTGAAATATAAAAAAATGATCTTATATGTAATAGAAAAAAAAATACTTTTAAAATATTAATATTTTAAAATTTAAATTTAAATATAAAGTCGGGATGGGGAGGGGTCGGGATTGCATTACTCATCCCAGTCTCCGTCCCCAACTTTTTAAAGCGGAGAAAACTCAAATCCGTCCCCACTTTCGGTCAACTCAGATTTTTCCCGTCAAATTCGGGGCGAAGAGGAATTGATCCGCACATGTACGAATTTAATTGTCATCCCTTACCCACACCATCCCCTTCTCGTCTCCTCGTTATTTTCTATCTCTCATTTTTTTTTGTCTTCATCTCTAGGATCTCCCCACACAAACATTTTTTGTTGGATTCATTTTTATCTTAACACTAAAGTTATACCACATATAAATTGATAAAATGTTTGTTTTACAAAATGAATTATATTTACAAAAAAATATTATGGCTTTATTTGGTACTAATGTTATTATAAATTTTGAAATATATACAAATATACACTAGTACGGAAAACACTTTTAACATCGGTTCTTAGCGGCTTTCTACATCGGTTCTAGGCATGTAGATAACCGATGTAGAAAGTTGGTGAGTTTTAACATCGGTTAGAACCGATGTAGAAATCGACTTTCACATCGGTTCTAGGCCATACCGATGTAGAAGTCGACTTTTCACATCGGTTATAGTTATAACCGATGTGGAAAATCGACTTTCTACATCGGTTATGGCCTAGAACGATGTGGAAAGTATTAAAAATCACTTTCTACATCGGTTATGGTCATAACCGATGTGGAAAGTCATATTTTTTTATATACGAATTTTAGTTTTTGATTTTTCGGAACCTCGTACGAGCATTTTAAATATTTACAGCTACTCGGAATGTTAATCTATATATAGAGGACATGCATTAACACACAAATAAACATAATGTATATTATATATCTACATTGTATTGTATCAACAAAAACAATAAACATGTATTGTATTCTAAGTTTATATATACAAAGAAACTAGCGAGTCCTAATGTTTCACAATTAAATTCAATCACGACTATAGTTCTTAATAACAAAATCCGCCCAAATTCGTCTAATGTCATCAATCTACGCTTCACTTATTGGATGACCATCATCGAATATCTACAAACAAAAAAAACATTTCGGATAAGCGAAGTAGGCAAATATATGTCAATGACATAGATATAGTCATAACACATACCAAATTCCATGAATCTGTGATATTTGCTATGATGATTGTTAACATATGTCTCATCACATAATATCCGCACTCCCAACTTCCTTTTTGCTTATTACACTATAAGAAAAAAAAACATTAAATACGAGAAAATGAGTAAATTAAAGTTAAGAATTTGAAAGATAATGTCCTTACACGTGGAAGTATCCATGTGAGTTTCTTTTTAGGCTTACCCTCCATGACTGAGTATGCTTCTATACACCTACAAAAGATTAAATGGAAAATACTTCATATTAAGACATGTGGAACTTAAAATGAAATGAATGAAATATTATACAAGGGTGTTAGTATACTTATCTTAAACAATTGAATGTTGTGTGGATCGGGATTTGGGAATGAAGCACAATTATTATGAAGTACTTACTTATGAATATAAAAAGTAAAATCTGGATACTATTTAGCTCAAAGGAGTGAAGCACGGATCTTTACGATTATTTAATTTGTCATGAACCAGACCTAGAGTATTTAATTAGTCACAAAGACAGATTCATATATAAGGGTGTTAGTATACTTACACATCAATAATCTGTTTAATTTCCTTTTTGGGTTTATTCCATAAAGAGCATAAAAATATAGTCTCATTACGTTTAGGACAAAGGATAAACGAGTTGCCGGTGAGACCTACAAAAAATGTCGCTCAATTAGCAATTCTTAAAAGATTCAAAGTTTGAAAGTAAGTAATTTAAAAAAACTTACCCATAATGATATGGTGCGAGATAAACTTCCTTTGATCCTTCACAAAATCTCTTTTGAATGTATGCTTGAATAGTATTTGGTTTGTTCCCCAAACTACGAATGTGGACAGGATCAATGAATCCATAGACATCTTCTACTCCCTTTTCCGCAACAGACTTTGTTGAGGTAACTAGAAATTGAAAATATCATGTTAATTGCATTTTAGACAAGTTGGTGTCTAATAGGGCATACAACCAATTGACTTAAATAAAAACATAAGACTTACATTAACCAGACTTGGAGAATTGTGACGCAAATCATGTCTTGACTCAAAACAACATCCATAATGTCCTTCTGACTCAAGTACAACGTGATGGGCTGCGGATTCCCAATCACATGAGGGTCCATCTGGATCTGTAAAGGTATATGCTTTCCTAGCCTATAAGCTAAGAGGCATAACCTTTGTATCGGATCTAAGTCCAGTTCCTCTTGAACTTTCTCTTTCTCTTTCTCCTTCCCCTTCTCCTTTCCTTTCTGTTGGGCACAAATGTCTTATCACAATTATCTTCTCTTTCTCCTTCCCCTTCTCCTTCCCCTTCTCCTTTCCTGATGAAATTGTCTTATCACAATTATCTTCTCCATCCTTGACTTTAAACCGTGATGTACCACAAACAGGACAATTATGCAAACTTCCAA